AAATGGTGAAGTTGATAAATATTTAAAACAAGAAGGTCTGGATCTATTGATAATAAAAAATAGACTCCTTTATTCATGCTATGCTATCTTCTTTTATACTAATTGCTTCAAGGCCTTAAAAAGGAATGTGCACACCAAATTGCACACGGCACTGCAATTATTATGCCCTTGAATGAAAGTATATTCAACTTTAGCATAACGTCATTATAACGTTATACATTACAATAAATTATAAAATACATAATGATTATCAAATTCATTAACGACATGAAATAATTCAAATCTAAAGCATAATTTGGATATACTAAAGTGACATCTAGTGAAATTTATAGAAAGTATAAAAGTATATCATAGATAAATAAATATGTTAATATCGTATATTAACATTATGATCACTCCTAGCATTGACCTAACCGAAAGGACATAGATACAATTTGTCGACCTATCAGGCAATAAATCTTTTATTAAAATAATGTTTTCCGTATATCTTCGCATCTTTCTAAGCAGTTAAATGCGATGTTGTCGTCGTGACATTTGTACAGCTGAAAATGTGTTCATTCAAGAGGTCATTCAGCAAACCATAGCTTTGAGATCATCATCAAGCCGTACTGTGAAGATTATTATTTTTCTTTATATGAGTTTGCGAATCTTTTGTTTCTTTTTATTGCTTTTTGATTCTGACTCTTTTGCTCAAAGAGTCTGTTGATCTGTTCCAGTGACCCAAAGAAGCCGAAACCAATTTTTTTGAAAAAACTTTCCCATCAACGATTACATAAGCTCACAGCAATAAGCCATCCACATATTACTTAACAATAATCTTCAAAATTAATTCTCTAATTCGCATGGAAGTTGCAAAAATGTGCCATAAAAATTAATTAACCAAGTATCAAATCAATGGCACTCAAATACCAACATCGGCACACAAAAAATTAATTACAAAGCAACGAGCATCTTGAATCTGATTATTTAAACTGGAATAATACATTTTTTTCGTGAATTTGAATAGTCTTATCAACAATTCAATTTGGCAATTAACTGGAAACGATTGATCTTTCTTAATGATTCTTAAGTAATTAGCGGATTATGATGAATAAATTGCGAATAAAAATGGGAAACAACACTTGAAGAAGTTGTTTCAGCTTAATTACATTATTTCGCAAGTAGTGACAAACCCTAACTGTTTCTCATCACATTATTCTTATTTCATGTATGAGTTATGATATATTATTAGCGTTTAACTCATACATTTCAAGTGTAATGGATGTCTAAAAAAGAGAATTAAGTGGGCAAAAAAAAGGCAGAAGCGAATTTTAATCATCATATTTATTCCGCACTTACTTGAGCAGCAGCAGCAACGGCACAAAAGAACAAAGATTTATTTTCATACACGAAGCTATGGTGGTCATGTAAAAAAATTGAATTTCAATGCAAATTGGATATAAAAGTGACAATTAAAAGCAATTTCTGTTGAGAAATTCCTTAATCAACAATTTTAATGTGTGCATTAAGCCTTTTTGTCTCTATCCCTCGCCAGAGGTACATAACCTTCAATTGGCTATTTCTTCATCTTATGACTCGTTGAGTCGTTGGATAAAAATGCAGTTTTTGAGCATTAAAAGTGACTTAAAGAAAGAAAGAAAAAAAATCTCGTTTTCATTATACCAACACATTAATCTAGGTCAGTGGCAAAAAATATAGCAAGACATGAAAGAAATCAACCAACACATTTCAATTTTATACACAAATATATCGACTGCATGTGCATTTGCACAGTATGATATGCATGTTTATTATGTCCAAAAAGACTTTTTTTTTGAGCTTGTAAATAATTTCAACATTGATATGTCAACAATTTATCTTTAAACTATTTTAATGATTTCCTTATATCATGCAATTGGTTTGACTTTTTTTAAGGTGCTAATTTATACTTCCATGAGTCTTGGTGTTATATTTACTAATTCTTTGAAATTCGTTTGACTATGAGCATGATTAATTCTGAACAAAAGTAATACATTGTTGGATTTTAAGGAGATTTAAGGAATAACATAAACACCATGCGATAATAAAGTGTGAGTTTTTTGTATTATTAAAGATTTTATTAAGGAAACTCTGATAACATGTATCCTAAAAATATGCAAATAAGTCTCCATCAAGCATTGATCCCATTAAATGCACCATTATTAGAAAATTAGATATAAAAATTTGAGTTTACGAAAATAATTCAAATCAAATATATTTTCGCAAAACAGAGCATTTAAGTGTTTATTAACCTCCTGAAATAACTACAAAGGTGAATCACACACATTAAAAAGAGAAATACGAATTTATTAAAACTGCATTACGATTGACTTCTGATACTAGAAATTGCAATCATTTTCCACCTCGTTAGCCTCGTCGTGTCGCACGAGCAGCAACTACAAAGTAGAAGGAAGAAAATTAATGTAGAAAAATATTGCATGAATATTTTGTGCATTTTATTTCTTATTCGACTGTTGCTGACCCAAAGGCAAAAAATGACGAGTACATTGATACGATATTCAACTACTGAATTGCAGCTTTATGGTGATTAAAATAGCAGAATGTTCAAAGCCGCTCCCACAAGAAAATAAAGGAACAAGACAATGTTATTATTAATTATCATACATTTTTCGTGGCTGTTGTTACTATTGTTACATGCTGCAGTAAAGTGTGAAAATGGAAATTGCTACAAATTCTTAATAAAAATGCTCGAGAGTTAGTGTAAAAATATATTGAGGTCCATTTAAAGGCAGGAATTTTTTTCAATCGAAATTCTTAACATAAATCTTAACTTTTTGCAATATGTGTGGCATTAAAAATACTTATTGCTAGTGGTAAGGCTCATGTGCTTTACAAAAATTCAATTTACGTTTCTGTTTTGAATTTTTTCGGGGTCTTCGATTTGTGGTAATACATTGGAGCAGTTCATTAGCTAACGTAACATTAATTGTAAGTATTGATGCAAATTGATGCAAATAAAAGTAATTCGGGGATCGATGCGTGTTACTATATTTGGGATATTGATTGCATTTATTCTTGATTTCTATTTGGAAACGACAGGAGAAATTTGGGTTGAATTAATTAACACTTTTTGGTGTTATTGATGTTTAAAGAACATTATTCTCCTTAAAATCAAATTGGAAGGAAACTGAAAAGTCAATAAGTTTTGATATCCTATGTCCTTCGTTGAGGACTAAAATTTAATACTCTGAAATTTGTAATTCACATCATATTACTCATTGATTAATAGCTACTTCTTAAAGATTAATAAATTTCACAGCTACTAAAATTGAATAAACTTTTTAATAAATTTTTTTAATAAATTTGTGTCCAAAATAGAAATATTCCTTCCTATACTTTAATTATCAATATTTAATGCCAATAAAACAGCTACTTAACAAGTTAAGCTCTTTAAAAATTAAATACTTGAGTGAGAAATTTCTAAACATGGAGTTATTAAATTTTAACATAGTTCATACATTTGTCATAAAATTGACCACCTGACAGCTAATTTAATTCCATGAAATTCTGTAATTGTTATTTTTTTGCCAATGATCTTTAAGATTAATAAACTCGCAGACCTTCAAAACCATTCTATGACTGGACTACTCATGTCAGATTCATTTAAAAAACTTTTATTGCTAATTCACAAAGAGTTAAACATGGAGCTTCTTTAGATCATTGTTTTAATTAACACCAAAACTAATCACCTTGATCGTCGTTAAGGATTAAACCTCATTCGATGCTTTATGCGAGCATAATCAAATCATAAAATGCTGATATTGTAAAACAAGATAAAACTTCGATTGAGATCATCCATAAATATTGCAAATGATGATAAATTTTCTTGCTTTGTCGATACACACAAATGATATGAAATTAAAGCATGAGTTTTATGACTCGATAAAGTGAATAAGAAATCACAACAAAGAGAATTTTTATTCAACAACTTAATAACAGAAAGTGATAATTTACTACCGCTGGATTTCATAAATGAACTAAAGGAGAAAATTTAGACGTTCTGTATGTCCAATGAATATTTTTACATGGAGTTAAAAAAGTTCATATTTTGGAGCTTAATGAAAGTGACGTTTTCTAGAGTAAACCAAATATTACAGCATTTGACGAATTATTAGGGTTACCATCTAATTTTCATGAAAATACAGGACTTTTGCTAATTTTTTTCAAAAAATACAGGACATAGAGTAAAATTGGAAAATTAACGGAAATTTTCGTGAAAAAAATACAGGACCTGGAACAAAGTTTTCAAATTTATACAGGACAGGGTTTTGAAATACAGGACTGTCCGTTGTAAAACTACGCAGATGGTCACCCTACGAATTATTCATTCACTGCTCAAAATTATTTTAGGTCAATTATAAATGAATTCATTAAGCAATGATGATTTGTAAACGGAGCAAATTTTGGCTAGAGCATTGCGTGTGTACAGCACAGACCTTTAGCCACCGTTTTTAATGTAAATAGAACACTTCTTTTGCTACCTTTTGCCACATGACATAATGACCTACATACAATCAGAAGGAAATGTCTTGCATGCACTTTTCGTGTCTATGGGAAATCCAATATGCCCATATGTCTGATGCTCTTCATTCAACAATTTATTTTCAATGTCTATCGAATTAAATGCAGCTATTTTTTCATTGCCATTGTCTGTTGTTTCGTGATAAACAAAATTATTTGTTCGTCCTGGTCGTCAATGGCAACGGAATTTCCCATAACAAAAATAATGAAAACGAACGTTGTTCCTGCTGTCGAATGTACTTTTCCTTTCAGTTTTCATGTACAATTCTGGCTCATAAGACGCTCAACATTTATGGATTTTCATTGTTTCTGGTGCAAAGCAATAAGCAAAAAATAATTTATGCAAAAAAATATTTGTGCAAGTCCTTGATGAAGGATAGAAAAGAAGTGCATGATAAAAGTGAAAATTTAAAGTTTTAGAACTGTATTAACGTTAAAATATGAATTTAGGACAAGGCGTTATCAAAAAAATTATTCTGGTTTCCGCATTAATAATAATATTTTCATCATGCACCATCGGAAGTGACGATGATGAAAATTTCTACTTCGCAAATAGCAATAATAATAAGTTCTTTGCTAATAATAGAAGAAATTGCCAGCCTAATTACTATTTTGATGTAGATTACTTCAAATGTCGATTGTGTGATGGAAACTTTCACCTTTCGGTAGCGAAGCAAAGTGAGTGACACACACATTGTTCATACATGAGTTCTTCCTGTTTCTATTCCTTCCCCCTTTTTTTTGTTGAAAAGTTCATGCTTTACAATATGTAGACGTATTTAATGCCATTTACTCATTAAAAATTGATTTTTTTTGTGCTGTTCGTTTTTTTGAATTTTTTTAAAATTATTCATTTTTGATATCCTTTATGGATTTGTGATCGAGAAAGTTCCGCACTCATGTAAATTGCATTGAATAATACCGCTAAATTAGATATGAAAAATTCATTAAATGTCGAGTTGAAGGTTAAACTGCAATTTATAAAATCCAATAGATTTATTTATGCAGATCAATTCTATGTTATGCTAGGTATTATGAACAATAGTAAAGTAAGAATATTTGATTTGAAATTAAAGGAAAGAAATTAAAAATTCTGAAATTAATTACAAAATGTTTCTTTAGATGTTGAAGCATAAGATCAATTAATGGCTATAAACCCAGTCAGCTCTAATCCAATCAATAGTGATGAGTTTGGTGGTTTAAAATCTGTTCGAATTTCTAGGCGCTCTTATTTTTTTTTCTATAATTTACAAATCACTAATTATGAACATACAAAACGTTTAAGAATCAATAATATCAATTGAAAGTCATCAAGCTAAAAGCTTTCTGGATTAATTTCCATTATTTGAATTAGCAGCAAGTTTAATAAATTTAGGAACATTCCCATAAGCTAATTGATTTCTCACAATAGTTCCTTAATCTATTTCCAATAAATTATCAGTTTACAGAATCAATAGCGAACATCATAATAAATAAATAAATAAATTGTCACAATACGAGTCAAGCTGAAAAAGAAAAGTCGTAAATTGTTTCCAACACATTTTTCCATTCTTCTTCACATAATTCATTCCTTCCTAATTATATGAATTTCTTTTTTTTATGTGTTGTTCCGTAAACCTATATTTAAATCAACTCATTCATTCTTATTAAATTTTTATTTTCCTTCTTTACTACTTCTTCCATATTTGTCGCGGTATGTTTACGTCCACCACACGCCATTCATGCCGCTTACACATAATCTACAACAACAGAGAATCAATGTAATTGTGATAAGAATTCTACGGAAATATTTGAATATGATAATATCTTAAGACGACCGATTTGCAAGCCACTATCGGAAGTTGTACCTGAGACTAAATGTCTATTACATTTTGTGAACTCAACGGATTTCTCAGCTGTGAGAAAAGTTGTGCGAGTTTACCGCCTTCCAGTATCAACAAAACAAAAATGTTTTTGTGATTCGAGGTTAAATGAGGAATATCACGGAAAGTACTGCATTAGATATGAGTTATTTAAAGACTTGAAAAATTATCAGCAATACAAGAATCTTCCGCTTACACAAACATTAAATTTGAGTTACGAGTTAAAATTTATTGTTCTGTTTTGCAAGATCCTGCATAGGCGTGACTATTGCAATTATCTTGCAAATCTTTGTGTTCTTACTCATTTCAATCTTGACAAGAATGGTCCATGCTATTCATTTTATCAACAACAGAATCAACACTTGGCAATTGACGAAGGCGGAAATATCTATGGATCGAGTGAGGGTAACGAATTCAATGGCGGGGAAAAGATGAAACCGTTTCTGTTCTTTCGCGGAAAGAAAAACAACAAAAATCTTTTCGACAAGTTCATCGACTTCTCATATAATATTGAGAATGTAAGTCTTTTTTGTGCCTTATTTTGCTTATTGAGTCAAACTTAAAATTTCCCCATAAAACTTGCAGGCAAATAGCACAATAAATTTTACAATCCTTAATTATAACTTATATGGAAATGTGAGTGATCTCCGTCCGATGAAGCTGAGTGATTTGAACTTATGTAATCAATATACAACCTACATGGACGGCGTTAAATTCGCATCGAATTATTTCAGCAAGTGCTCGATAAATCTACGTGAGTTAATTGCTCTCATGCCGGAAACAAGTTTCTCGACACTGTATCTAAATTATTTTGAGAATCAAGTCAATTTCCTTCAGATAGTTCCGATTTTAATACGAAATGCATACGAGGCCAATAAAGTTAGTCACCAACATTCTTCAATCGATTAATCTCTGACAAATTCCTTTTTATTTATTTTAGCAAGAAGATATCGAACGATGGCAATTGGTAAAAAGGTTCTTTCTGATCGACACAGTATCGGGTAAAAATTTAAATAGCGGAAAAAACACAAATAATGATGACGATGGGGATGAGATGGAAACGGCAAAATTTTATGAGCAATACAGTCAAATTAATTATGTAAAGTCAATCGAGATACGATTCCATCTGAGTGATGATGACGAAAATTCTGATGAATTTAATAAAATTAACATTCCGGTGATTATTATGGAGTATGGATCAATGAACTTGACACAAATTGCTAACAAAATGAAATCATCTGTTACTTATGACGAGAGTGAACTATACAATGTCGACTTCTCATTCAAAATTAAATTCACAATGCGGCCAAATTTAAACTTTTTCTTCCAAATCATTTTGCCAATTTTTATTCTCATTGCATTTTTTAATGCCCTCATGTGTACATTTATCTACAAGATCTCGCAACAAAAAATGGAATATGATCTCTCGATTCTATTGAATTTCATAATTAATCTCATGGCGAATGTATCGAACGCATTCTTCATATTCATTTTGATATTCATTGCTTACGTTTTTTTCGTGTATAAAACTCAATCATCTGTTGTAAAGATCATGTTACCGCTTGAACGTGAGGAAGCAGTGATCGAGATTTTGTTAGTCTTTGCGATAATTTTCAAGGTAAGTCTCTTTATGTGCAATTTCTTATGAAATTAATAACGGAATTATTCAAACTTTTCCTGAATGTTTTGCGGTGTTTCAAATATATAAACTAGTTCCATGATCTTAAATTCCACAAACATCTACATTTTCAATTCACAGATTGTCAAATTAATGAAATTATTTTATGATATGATCACACTCGACATCTTCTTTATCGATTGGGAACGACCGAAGGTCTACAACACTAGCGATCACTTCTTTCATGGCTCAAATAAATCACATCCTGGGACACCGTCAATCACATCAAGTTTTAAGCCCACACTTTCATCTCCCTCACCTACAAATGATTGTGTCTCGGCGTGGAGGAATTACTTTGTGGCAAACGAATGGCAAGAGTTGATTACAAAGCGTAAAGTGTCTGTGCAGCTTCACATCATCTTTGTGATTGCCGCTTTAATGGTTTGTTTGACATAAATATAGTCAAATTATCATAAATCTTAAAAGCTACGCACATTTTATTTTGCAGCTATTTGGATTCGAAAATTTTGCATCTACGGATTTTGATTTTAACTTAAATGTCACCAGTTTCCAGCACTACCTAAGCCATTATCGAATGGATAAAGAAGCATCGGATATAGTTAATGGAAATATCTTACTGAAGGTAGCAACAGGTGCCATAATATATTTGACTGCTTACATTTTGCAACGAATATGGAATTTTCTCATTTATGAGCGATTCATTGACAATTGCCTCCAGCAGTTTATCGATGTAGCATCAATAGCCAATATTTCGGTATTGATACTCATCAACTCGTATGGATTTTATATTCATGGGCGATCAGGTGCTTAAAATTGATATCCATTATGAAATTTTAACTCAGGCAATAATTAAAATCTCTTATTCATATGACAGTACATGGACGGAGTGATATCGATACATTCAATATGATTTTACAATTTAAGAGAGAAGAAGAAAATTTATGTGGACATCGAGGATTATTGCCGTCATCGGATCAACAAACATACACAATATTAGCACCGAGGAATCTTCGGACATTTTATGAGAAGCTTATAAGTCCAATACAAAATAAATCGAATCATTATCATCAGCAATTTAATCATCAATCGATGAAATTTGAGCAAAATTTTGAGAAAACTATTCTCACATATCACAACATCAATCGATTTTTTGCTGCATTTATTGATCATGTATGTAGTCATCAAAAAGAAAACTTTCACTCTCATAAGGGGCCGTTCACTTATTACGTTACGCAAAAAACAGACTTTTTTCACCCCCCTCCCCCCCTTGTTACAACATGTTACAACTCGCAACCCCCCCCCCCTCCTCTGAACGTTCATAATTCAAATTTTTTTCGTGACCTTTTTTTAAAAGACAGACGACAGTTAGAACGTTACATTCTTCTTGACACCCCCCTCCCCCTATGTTACATTTTGTTACAATTTTTCAAACCCCCCTCCCCCCTAAAATGCGAACGTAATAAGTGAACGGCCCCTAAATTGAAATAACTTATTTTGATTATCATTAAATTTCTTTTGTTCACATGCAGGCACTTAAAGATGTCGATTATGTGATTAAGGAGAAAAATCTATTTGAAAAGATTTTTGATTGTGAATTGGAATCGACAATTAACAACGACTCGAAAGGAATCTTTTATTTTGATAATGGACACTCATTTGATAAAGGTGAGTGAGCAACACAGCTTGAGGCGATGGCGGTATTTTATGCTAATTATCTTTTATGATTATTTACAGTGTTATTTTATGGTAACGAAAACTCAATTTTCGGTTTCGAGTACTTGCTCTTTATTTTCCTATTATTCGTAACTGGCAATTTCTTGATTGCTACACTTTCTATTGGAATTATTTTCAAGGTAATTATTATCTCTGAATTGGCAGAAGGTTCACAAATTGGTTTTGTGATGTTAAGTAACAATTTTTGTTGTGAAATCCTTTCAACCGATCCTAGTCAAATCAATGATATTGCAGCTCTTTTAATGTACAATACTCCAAAATAAAGTGATAGCTTAAGTGGCTCGGTAGTGGAATGGTTTAGTACTTTGGTACCTAATTATTGTGATACTGACACATTGATCATGGGTTCGAGACTGGGTAAGGAAAATTTTCCACTTGTCCTTTTTCGAATCATATGTGCTGTAAATGAGACTTACAGCCTTCCTTTGTAGTCTAAACGCATGCAATTGAGCATCATGCAATTGAGATAAGACAAGATAAGAACTGAAATGTTTTTTATAACAATGGAGTATTTTTTATAGCAATATAAATAGAAATATCCAGCTATTATCAAATCATTAGAGAAACATAACCTTTTGGACTCATAAAAAGACAATTAGCTGAGCAGTTTCCTGGTTGAAATTGAAGCCTAGTTGTCATCACATAATGAATTTTCATTTCCGAATAAATCTATGAACTATCAAAGATAGTTTATTCATTTCTCATTCAAATCTAGATCAAAACTTCATTAATCATACAGTTAATTAGTGGTTCAATTGAGTAGCATACAATCACATCCATTAGATATACAACAAACAAAAGTTTCTCATCTTTTACGCCATGTGCTGCAAACACAAAAATGAAACGTTATTAATGATAATAATATTGGTCCGCAATCATTGTGGCTACTCTTGTTTTCTTTTTTGACCACAAATTGTTTCTTAATATCACATTTTCTTTTCAATTGCTCTGATTTCAATCAAAACTCATGCATTCTCACTTTTTTTTTCTTTATCTTTCTTTTTGCAGCTCATCGAGTTGGTCATAAATCATCTGACAAAAAATAATTTAGCTCGTAAAACATTGATCGATAAGCGATTTTTAATTTAGAAAAAATAGAGTCTTTATTATGCAACAGTCTTTTGATTTTATTTTTGGATCACCTATTAAGTACAAAAGGGACTCTCAAAAGAGTTTCGTAATAAAAACTAGAGTAAACAACAATAAGAAACTAGCTACTTTTACTTTCATTGATGAACTGATTAGATCATCAAAAGCTTTGAATCTTTCCGGGAATAAACCTTGCTTTTCAACCATGTGAGTTCCAATATCAAGGTAGTAATCATCTTCGTCATATTTTGGCCATATCATGTTCCTCAAATATGGATCTGATGAGTTATTTGGATTTCCTTTCATTGCAAATTGTTCCCAAATTCTCGTCATTCTTTCAATCATGAAGTTTTCAGGATCAGTAAGACTCGCATCTGGTGCAATATACCAAGTATTGAGGACATATTGTAAGTCATCAGCATGTGAAACACCGTACGGAAAGTTTCTTGGATAATTGAAAACGCTGTGACTTCCAACGTATGAAAATTTGTAATAATACACATCCATACATTTTGAAATCATTCGGACAAGCCTATGTACTCCATAATTAATCGAACCGTCACTGAATAACTAGAAAGAAGTACTTACTTAAATGTATCACAATCATTATTAAATTCTCATTAAATTTACATTGGCCATGCCACTGAATGATCGATGATCAATGTCATTGAATGGTAAATAGACGTTCCTTATTGTTTTCGAGTTATTTGAATATTTTCCTAAGAAGAAACAGTCAGCTAGGTATGAGTTTGTATGCTCATTCAACTTCTTCAAAGCTTTTTCATCTCTCAAGAATGCTGGAAATAGAGTTATAGATTTAATGGATCTTTCGATTTAATACGTTGGTGAAACATACTCGGAACCATATATGACATCTCATCTTCAGTTATTCCAATCATAACAGCTTTAGGGGATATTTTAGGATCGGAAAAAACTTCATCAGGACTTTTTGATAAAAATCTTTCTTGTCCAAAATCTTTTTCAATCACTGGTCTCCATGACATTTGATACCTGCAATTCTTAGTTGCTCCAACATCGATTACTAAAATGCTTTCTGCTGGTTTCTAAAATGAAATTAAAGAACTTAAAACTTTACAAATCACAAAAGTACAACGTCTGACTTACATCCTGTAAACACCTAACCATTTGAGTAATGTTACTAGTTGTGCAATTCAATTGTTCAGCAAGATAAATAGCCGAGTCTAAATCATTATCATCCCACTTTGTGAATGTTGTGATAGATCCACTCACAGCAATAACTCTTCGAAATAAATCTCTTGACATTTCAGATGCCATATGTGCTGTTACGGAATATGCACCTGCTGATAATCCAGCTATTGTGACTCGACTAGGATCTCCACCAAACACATCAATATTATTTTGAATCCATTTTAAAGCAAGACTTTGATCCTTTAATCCCATATTGCCAATCGCTTCTTTTGTTCCCGTTGATAAGAATCCAAAAGGCCCAAAGCGATAATTAATCGTCACTAAAACAATATCTCGATCCATTAAATAAAGTGGTCGATGATTATATGCCGAGCCTTCCTCAAAAGACTTGAGAAGAAATGTGGACGATAAGATAAATTAAAGTAAGTATAGTAAATTGATTTCATTTATCACTTACACCGCCATGCACAAAAACGATAACAGGCTTGAGGCTAGTTGATCCGAGATTTTTAGTAAAGACATTTAGATGTAAGCAATTTTCAGAAATATTAAAATGCTTTTTATTTTGCATACACATCGGTCCATATTGTGTGGCATCTAATGTACCTGTCCAATTTTTATTTGGAACCGGAGCTTGAAATCGTAGAAAGCCAATTGGAGGTTCAGCAAACGGGATCTTTAAGAATGCATGATAGCTCACATTTTTCCGTGTCGTCATAACTGTTCCTTCCAATTGACCATCTTTTATTGTTAGAAGTGCAGCACTCGACAAGCTGAGAAAATTTAAAAGCAAGAAAATGCCTAAAGCTTCGACCTTTCTGTGCTTCATTCTAGCTACAAACTGAGAAATATTCGCACGACAAAGACCTTTCTCCCTTCCGAAATATAGTTATCATGAAGTACAATAAAAAGCTATATAACTGATACCGTTATCACGTGTGAAATATATATATTTACTTGCCATAAATGGAACTCCCACATCAAGTCTAAAGTAACAAGTTCGTTATCAAGAAATAAGTCTTATATTAATCAAATTAGCCACTTGGAAGATAACATGACTATAAAATAAAGTTAATATACCTAATTGGAATTATTTGATGTTACATCCTAAAGCATGCAAAGCTATGAGAATTTAAAAATGTAAGTTATAAAAGTAAAGTGGCTTTTAAAAAAAAAAATATTAAAGAAAGTAAATTTTGGAGAAGCTTAAAGTCTCATAAAATCCTATTACTTACTTTTGCTCGCTGAGTCATTCACTAGATTGTTCTAAATAATTTAATTCAGTTTCGATTCAGATGAATGAAAAATTGCAAGAATGTCAATTTTAAAATTAATGCTAAAATCAAGTTCATTTCATGTCACTTTAAAGCTGACCAACCCTGCTGTCTTTATCGTTTAAAGTTTTCGTACACAAAGTATTGTCAAGGCCTGCGGCTGTTTTAAACTTATATGACTAATTCCAAAATTATTCATTGCCACTTTCAAGCTCAATAGTCCATATAGACTAGCATGCGAAAGTAAAAAAATATCAAATCGCCTCTAGTTGCATACATGCGAACAATATTTGAAGAATGCAACAAATTTAGCATGTAATTCGCATAACTTTACTGTCAGTTTGTGTTCCGTTATTAAATTCTATCCACAAAAAATTCACTATCATGCATGATTCACATAATATATTTCAAATAAAATTTTTCAGAACCTAAATCGAATTAAAATAATATTATAATTTAACACTCAACATATTCTACATTGATTTATGGTCATGAAGATTACAATAGCTTTATACGCCTTCAATTCTACAAATATGCATTACAATTCTTATTTATAGTTGCTGCATATCATAAGCGTGCATGAATGAATATAGCAACAAGAGACACAACGAGACAACAAATTTTGTCTTGCATGAATTGAATATTAGCAAGAAGTAAGTAAGTGAAGTAGGTAAGAATAAAAAAATTTGAAAAAAAAAATATTATTCTAGCCATTCTCATGCATTGAATTGTAAACATTAAGTCATCGACATTGATATCTTCATATTGTATTATATTATTACAAATAAAGGAGGAAGAATAAGGCAGAGAGAGTGTGAACACGAATTCTTATTCTTATTGCATCTCATAATTTAAAGTTTATCTCACTTAATTTATTGATCACAATGAAAGCTGACCATATAACAAATAAAAATTCTTAATTAACGATACAAAATATTTTGCTGCGTAGCGAAAGGCACAAAAAGGCTTTTTCAATTTATCTCGATCGTAAATATTATATATAAATTGGCACTAATCTCAAAACACAGCACGATTTTCTTTATCATGAAAATTTTGAGATGTAGAAAATTTGGATGTGCCAATAGGCTCAACTGATGTGTGAGTAAATCTTAATATTCATCTTCAGATGCCTCGAATTACTCGTTATCTTAACACTTTTTTGAAAATAAAAATGGTTTGATGTCAGCGAAAATGAAACTGGAAACAAAGCAGCAAGGTACATTAACACAGATTTAAGACTATTGGCTCAGTCTTCCAAAAAAATATTAATTGAAAACAATTTTTATCATCTCCAGAGTCTTCTTCATGTATGAATAAATTTAGATGCATCATCCATAAGTTGTGATAATTTGAGGTGTTTACACATGAATATTTTAAATTCAGCGCAACCGAAAAGAGGCGTCTGGTAGGAACCAATAATTGATGTTCTAACAAGATTGTGATTAAAGTTTTTTAACTGGATTCGGCTTTGTTCTTAGTAAATTTTATCTTTTAATTTCGTCAATAAAATATCAAGTTACATTTAATGAAGCAATTTGGAGCTGCTTTAAAATAATGATGATATTTGGTACAAAAATTTTAAAAAAACTGTGCCTCCAGTTGAAATCCTAAATGATGACAAATGACTGAAATTTTTAAATAACTTTATTCCATTTTGTTTCTCAACAATTGACTATGTTTTAATCACAGACACTCTAAGTCAGTCCATTACTGATAATTGGGTTGTAATTTGCAACGGCCTCTGACATTTAGCTAGTGATTAATGAGACGCCAGTTCCAAAGCATTTACTAACAATTTACACTGTTTTATGATAACGTAAATGTTTAATACTGATTTTTATAGCATACAGCACAACTGTTGTTACTCACGAATCGCGAACACAATGTAATTTTCTTGTGCAATTTCTATCAATCGTAGTATATATATGATATATGTATGAGACATTGCAGCTATGTAGGTTATACTTATCATTGGTTTAAAATTAATCAAAAAGTTCATATTGATCGACTTTATGGGCACAAATTAGGATGTCAATTTTTGTAAGCGTTAGCTGAACAATCAGGGATTTTGAATTTATAATTAATGAAGTTATAAAATATTCACTCAGAAGTTCCAAAAGAGAATCAAGAGAATTATCTTCACAACAATATAATTTACAAATTTTATCAGCTGTCCCTTATTGTTGCCAAGCTATTTATTCATTTATCGCTTAAAACCACAAAGCGAATTTTAGTTTTGCATTACACAGTAAAGAATGAACAGACAAATATTTTCAGTTCTTATGATTTTAAATGTTTGTGCATTTATAAAATCTGAAGTGATTGAAATTGATGATGGAAAATTAGAAGGAACAGTTTTAAAGACACGAAAAGGCTTGGATGTTTACGCATTTATGAATATTCCTTTTGCAGAGCCACCGATTGGACGGTTACGATTTCATTCTCCGATTCCAAATAGAAAATGGAATGGGATTCTGAATGCGAAACAATTTGGACCAGCTTGTATGCAAAATAACGATGGTCCTGATGAGAGTGTATCTGAGAATTGTCTTCAATTGAATGTCTTTACTAAAGAACTAAATTCCATCAATTTAAAACCTACAATTGTTTATATTCATGGCGGTGTAAGTTTTGACTTTATTCCTTAAAAGAATCGATATTAACAAAAAAAACTTTAGGGTTATGTAGCTGGATCTGCCGTTGGATACCTTCCAAGTTATCTTTTAGATCGTGACATTGTACTGGTTACTATAAATTATCGCCTTGGACCTTTCGGATTCCTCGCCACAGGAACAAAAGATGCTTATGGAAATATGGGTCTTAAGGATCAAGTTTTAGCTCTAAAGTGGGTTCGAAAGAACATTGCACATTTTGGTGGAAATCCAGATCAAGTCACAATTTCTGGATTATCAGCTGGTTCATTTTCTGTTACGGCACAAATGGGATCAGTGATGTCACAAGGATTGTTTCATAGAGCAATTGCTATGAGTGGTGCAATCACCTGGCAAACAGGTTTAGACAGAGACAATATGAACTTAGTTAAGCAAGTAGCTAAGAGGCTTAGTTGTCCAATAAATGTCGATGACATGATTCCGTGCTTACAGACAGTAAGTACCAAAATATTATGTGGTTTTTCTCAATATTTATTTTTTCAAGTCTAGAAATCAGCAAAAGATATAATTCAAGCAGGGAGCAGAAGTTATTATGGCTGTTTGGTCATGCCATGGCTTCCTGTTGTTGAGCAAGATTTTGGTCAAGAAAGATTCTTTACCGCCGATCCAAACAAGTTGTTCAAAAGTGGAAAATTTAACAGAGTTCCAGTGATTGTTGGAATAACCACTGATGAATTTATATCGCCAGTTGTTCGTGAGTATTAATTAAAGATTTATACTTTCTGGTTCTTAAAGATTCCTATTTTCCAACTCTATAGCTCTTCTCAACAATAAAGAATCATTGGAACTGTTAAACAACAAATTTTCTGAAATAGCATCCAACTGCTTTTATTTCAGAGGAAATGGAATAATATCGACGGACGAAATAGCTGAATTATTAAGAAAGCATTACTTACCATACGACAAAATTGATAAAACATCATTTAACAGCTTACATCATCTATGCGCAGATGGATCAATTGGCTATGCAGTTCATAGATTTGCTCACTATGCCTCTCCTTTTACTGATGTTTATTACTATAAATTTTCTTATTCTGAACGATTTAGCAACTTTTTGTATCCTAGAAATAAACCATACGGAATACATCACGGTGATGACAACATGTATGTCTTATCAACTCACTATGATCCAGAAATTAAAGAATCTGATCCAGAGAACTTTATGGTCGAAAGAATGACGAGAATTTGGGAACAATTTTCAAAATATGGAAATCCTAATAAGCGTAATGATGAATTCCTTGCTGACTTAAATTGGCCTAAACTGGATAAAACTAGTGAATATTTCTTGGATAATGGAAAACATATGGTTGAAAAGCAAGGACTTTATCTAGAGCGATATCATATGTGGGACAGTTTAGATAAATCTTTGATGTATTCTGAAAAAGATGAATCCAATGAAGAGATAATGATTAAAATTATCAAGAAAGATTCTGACTATAATTTTGTATTGTCATCGAATAATTCGAAGATCTATAACTATCGCTCGCTGCCTTAAATTGTATCAAACATTTCAATTCATATTTATGTGATAGTTATGTCTTAAATACCTTAACGCATTGCAAAAAGGCAAAGCAACATAAAAATGACCATTAATAATAAAAATCGCAGGAAATGCGATTATATAACCTGTCAGCATTAAGCATCTATTATTTCATTGCAATTCATCAAACCAATTCAAATTTAATTTTTCACAGCGTTAAAAGCCGATAAAAAATCATTATACAAATTTTTTTGCTCAATTTGCATCTGAATATCTCTTTAAGGTAGTTATAAAGTGGTCAAAGAAGTAGCAAATGCATTAAAAAGTAATTAGCTCTAATTTTTGGAGAAAGACCAATAATGCTTCATTTTGATGCAGATTTATTTTTCGGTGTTGGTAACGATATCTGCTACTATTGTGGTCATTATGTTCTTTATTTTATTAAGTTGCAAAAAATATTCGACTTAGATTCAAACCTTCAACTTGTTGAGTTTTGGAGCCAAAAAGTTCAAATTTTGTTGTCAAATGAAACTTTAATAATTATTGCAAAGGATGCAATAATATTCGATTTAGATTCTAACCTTCAAATTGTTGAGTTTTGGAGCCAAAAAGTTCAAATTTTGTTGTCAAATGAAACTTTAATAATTATTGCAAAGGATGCAATAATATTCGACTTAGATTCTAACCTTCAAAGTGTTAAGTTTTGGAGCCAAAAAGTTCAAATTTTGTTGTCAAATGAAACTTTAATAATTATTGCAAAGGATGCAATAATATTCGACTTAGATTCTAACCTTCAAATTGTTAAGTTTTGGAGCCAAAAAGTTCAAATTTTGTTGTCAAATGAAACTTTAATAATTATTGCAAAGGCTGTAATAATATTCGCCTTAGATTAGAACCTTCAAATTGTTAAGTTTTGGAGCCAAATAGTTTAAATTTTGTTGTAAAATGAAACTTTAATAATTATTGCAAAGGCTGTAATAATATTCGACTTAGATTCTAACCTTCAAATTGTTAAGTTTTGGAGCCAAAAAGTTCAAATTTTGGTGTCAAATGAAATTTTAATACTTATTGCAACTTGCAATAATATTCGACTTAGATTCTAACCTTCAAATTGTTAAGTTTTGGAGCCAAAAAGTTCAAATTTTGTTGTAAAATGAAACTTTAATAATTATTGCAAAGGTTGTAATAGTATTCGACTTAGATTCTAACCTTCAAATTGTTGAGTTTTGAAGCCAAAAAGTTCAAATTTTGTTGTCAAATGAAACTTTAATAATTATTGCAACTTGCAATAATATTCAACTTAGATTCTTACCTTCAAATTGTTAAGTTTTGAAGCCAAAAAGTTCAAATTTTGTTGTCAAATGAAACTTTAATAATTATTGCAACTTGCAATAATATTCAACTTAGATTCTTACCTTCAAATTGTTGAGTTTTGGAGCCAAAAAGTTCAAATTTTGTTGTCAAATGAAACTTTAATAATTATTGCAAAGGTTGCAATAATATTCGACTTAGATTTTAACCTTCAAATTGTTGAGTTTTGGAGCCAAAATCAACAATTCAAATTTTGTTGTCAAATGAAACTTTAATAATTATTGCAAAGGATGCAATAATATTCGACTTAGATTTTAACCTTCAAATTGTTGAGTTTTGGAGCCAAAATCAACAATTCAAATTTTGTTGTCAAATGAAACTTTAATAATTATTGCAAAGGATGCAATAATATTCGACTTAGATTCTAACCTTCAAATTGTTGAGTTTGGGAGCCAAAAATTTCAAATTTTGTTGTCAAATGAAACTTTAAAAATTATTGCAAAGGTTTGAGTTCCTTTTTATTGAGAAGCGAAGACTTTATTTAAAACGATATTAAGTTTGGGATAATTTAAAGAAAAAAATTAAACTGAAAGTATGCATTTATCATTACATTTATCTTCTTGTCTGTAGTGGTTCTTAAAATAAACAAAAAAAGATAATTTTTAATAAACTTTTCAAAAAGCGCAAAGCTTAAAGTTAAGAAAAATGAAGTTGATGATTTTAAATTTAGACAGTCAGCTGTTCAGAGACATCTTTTGTGAGATATTTGCAACTTTAAAACTAATTCCATTTTTTTGTAATTTCTGGTTATAATTTTCATTTTATTATATCCAAGCACTATTTGCATTTCCAATAATTTGTTGATCTTTAAAAATGTTAACACATCCTGTTGACCACTCTGTCGTTATTAAGATTTTTCTAAGATCCTTTACATTTCAAGGAAAATTCTTAAAAGTATGAAAGCTTAGAAAAATTTAAAAAAAACTTCAGTTTACATCAGATTGGTTTTGTTTAATATTAATTAAAGCTTTATAAAGCCATAAGTTGTGGAAGATCATCAATAAGCAGTCAATCATATCCAATTTTGCAATGTGACAACTCGAGTTCGATTCCATCAGTGATAAATAAATTGAGGATGTAATAAATTGTGAATCACACAAGTACTTCGTGTCAATATTTCACTCAGCATGTTGCTGTTAAAAAAAATTTCCCGCAATATTCTTCACGTTTGTCTTGATAAGCTTTAAATTTTCCATAGCATTCCAATTGTATTAATCGCGAATTATGAACCACGTACTTGAAATCGGGTCAAAAAAACCCATCATAAAAATTAAGCAAACTGATTAATTTTTCTTCTACAGGAAGACTTTCTATGAACTGCACTGTTTACTATAAATTATGGCTCTCAATTCATTGGGTATGTCAGTCAATTGATACTCTTCAACTGAATAAAACAAAATGAATTACGATAAAGTTTTCATTCTTATAGTGAATGTGATTTTATTCACCAAGTGTGATATTATTCAAATCGAAGATGGGTATTTAGAAGGAATGGTTATGACTTCTCGGAAGGGAGTCGATTTCCATGCATTTATGGGAATTCCTTACGCAGAACCGCCAGTTGAAAATTTAAGATTCCAAGCACCAGTACAAAATAAGAATTGGGAGAATATTTTAAATGCAACGGCTTACAGTCCAGCATGTATGCAAACATTCAACTCTAGATTTGGAAGATCTGAGGACTGTTTGTACTTGAACGTTTTCACTAGAAATCTTGATGTCAACGCTTCTAAGCCTGTGATAGTCTTTATTCATGGTGGTGCTTTCCGAAGTGGATCTGGCGGTAATCATGGGCCCAATCAACTATTAGATCGTGATATTGTCCTTGTTACTATAAACTATCGATTAGGAGCATTTGGGTTCTTAGCACTAGGAACTAAAGAAGCAACTGGAAACATGGGACTTAAAGATCAAGCAATGGCATTAAAATGGGTGCAAAGAAATATTGTATATTTTGGAGGTGATCCAAATCTAGTAACACTTGCCGGTACATCTGCTGGAGCTCATTCAGCATCCGCTCATTTAGTCTCGGAAATGTCATCAGGTTTGTTCCACAGATTAATATCATCAAGTGGTGCAATAACATGGCAGAATGGTTTTGAAAGCGATGGAATCGCATCTGCTATCAAAATGGCTGAAAGACTCAACTGCTCTACAAATGTATCTGAAATGTTCGAGTGCTTCAATCAGGTATGACTCACAACATGTGTGACATAAATTTTTAAAAAAATTCATAATTTAGTTCCTTAACATCTTACTGTTGAGTTACGAATGTCATTTGTTCTTTCCTTCATTATAACTAAACTTTGTGCTTCAATATTTTACAGCGAACTTCCCAAGAAATTAACGTGGCAGCTTCGATCAACTTTTATACCTGTCCTTTTTTGCCATGGGTTCCAGTCATTGAACCTGATTTTGGTCAGGAACGATTTTTCCTCGACGATCCCAATACTTTGATTAGAAGTGGTAACTTTGCAAGAGTTCCAATATTAACTGGAATCACTACTGATGAATTCATCTCACCAGTAGTCAGTGAGTATTTTGAGGAAAATTCCAAGCACTTACTATTTTATTAATCAAACATGTCCCTTCCTTCTCAGCTCTTTTAAGTAATCCCGATTCTCTTGAGCAATTGAATGACAATTTTACACAGTTTGCACCTATTTGCTTTGCATTTAGTGGAACCGAAATCACAACAGAACATGAGTTTGCTAGAACTTTGAAAAATTACTATTTACCATTTGAAAGCATCAACATTACAGCCTTCAATAGCTTGCGTCTGTTAAATGCTGATGGAACTATTGGATACGGAGTTCACAGACTTGTTCGCTTTGCATCTCCACATACTGATGTTTACTACTACAAGTTTTCATTTATCGGGCGATTTAGCATTTTCAATTATCCAGGAAATAAACCATATGGAGTTCATCATGGTGATGATACTCAATATTGTTTTACAAGTGGCATTATGGGACCGATCAATGAAGATGATCCAGAAAACACAACAGTTGAAAGATTGACAAGAATGTGGGAACAATTTGCTATTCATGGAAATCCAAATGATCAAGATGATGAGTTCTTAGCCGAAATGAACTGGCCAAAGTATGATGTAGAAAATGAATACTTCCTTGATATTGGCAATCACTTGGTCGAAAAGCAAGGATTGTATCTTGAGCGTTACCACGTTTGGGATAATATGGAGAAGCTTTCGAACAAGTTTCAACACAAGAACCTTTTAAACAAGTTTCAACACAACAGATTCCAGAAACACTAATGTTTTAAATTTATTTCAAATTTGAAATTAACACAATAAAAGTTATAATCAACTTTTCTGTTACAAACCTAGACAAAATAGTTTTTGAGAACCTTGCTAGTAAATTAATAGTTTTTAAGTTTTTTTTTTAAGATTAGAAAGCACAAAATGAGTCATCTCTGCACCCCGTGTCATTCATTTTAAGAGGTTTCGATATTGTTAATCGTAAAAACTGAAAAATACGATTGGACTACGAACGAGAGAAAAAAAAAACCCGTCGTAAAAATTTGTCAAGTTGATAACATTATCTTCTTCCGAAAGTTTTCTTTGAATTGCACTGTTTACTATAAAATGGAACACTTAATTCATCAAGTGTGTCAGTCAATTGATACTGTTCATACGTGCATAACACAATGAAGTACGATAAAGTTTTCATTCTTATAGTGAATGTGATTTTATTCACCAAGTGTGGTATTTTAAAAATCGAAGATGGATATTTGGATGGAACTCACATGACATCTCGAAAAGGAGTTAATTTCCATGCATTTATGGGAATTCCTTTACGCAGAACCGCCAGTTGAAAATTTAAGATTCCAAGCACCAGTACAAAATAAGAATTGGGAGAATATTTTAAATGCTACGGCTTACAGTCCAGCATGCATGCAAACATTTCCTTCTATACTGGGGATATCTGAAGATTGTTTGTACTTGAACGTTTTTACCAGAAGTCTTGATGTCAACGCATCTAAGCCTGTGATAGTTTTTGTTCATGGTGGTGCTTTCCAAATTGGATCTGGTGGTCATCATGGTCCTACCCTTCTTCTAGATCGTGATATTGTCCTTGTTACTATAAACTATCGATTAGGAGCATTTGGTTTCTTAGCACTAGGAACTAAAGAAGCAACTGGAAACATGGGACTTAAAGATCAAGCAATGGCATTAAAATGAGTGCAAAGGAATATTGTATATTTTGGAGGTAACCCGAATCTAGTAACACTTGCCGGTACATCTGCTGGAGCTCATTCAGCTTCCGCTCATTTAGTCTCTGAAATGTCATCAGGTTTGTTCCACAGATTAATATCATCAAGTGGTGCAATAACATGGCAGAATGGTTTTGAAAGCGATGGAATCGCATCTGCTATCAAAATGGCTGAGAAACTCAACTGTTCTACAAATGTATCTGAAATGTTCGAGTGCTTCAATGAGGTTTAATAATTTTTTATTAAATTGTATATCCATGAAATTCAAGGATGTACAATGAAATTGTAATTCCGTATTCAATGAAACTAAAGTTTTTAATTAAATTTTTGCAGCGAACTTCCCAAGAAATTAACGTGGCAGCTTCCTTCGACTTTTATACCTGCCCAGTTTTACCGTGGATTCCAGTCATTGAACCTGATTTTGGTCAGGATCGTTTTTTCCTTGACGATCCGAATTCATTGATTAGAAGTGGAAATTTCATAAGAGTTCCAATTTTAACTGGAATCACAACTGATGAATTCATGTCACCTGTTGCTAGTAAGTATGATTTAAGTTATTTCATTAGTTTTGATTCCTACTTTACAATTTTTAATTTTCACCAATAGCTCTTCTGAGTAATGCCGATTCACTTCAGCAATTGAACGACAATTTTACACAGTTTGCTCCTATTTGCTTCGCATTTAGTGGAACCAAAACCAAAACAGTACAGGAGACTGCAAATACTTTGAAAAATTACTATTTACCATTTGAAAGCATCAACATTACAGCCTTCAATAGCTTGCGTCTGTTAAATGCTGATGGAACTATTGGATACGGAGTTCACAGACTTGTTCGCTTTGCATCTCCACATACTGATGTTTACTACTACAAGTTTTCATTTATCGGGCGATTTAGCATTTTCAATTATCCAGGAAATAAACCATATGGAGTTCATCATGGTGATGATACTCAATATTGTTTTACAAGTGGCATTATGGGACCGATCAATGAAGATGATCCAGAAAACACAACAGTTGAAAGATTGACAAGAATGTGGGAACAATTTGCTATTCATGGAAATCCAAATGATCAAGATGATGAGTTCTTAGCCGAAATGAACTGGCCAAAGTATGATGTAGAAAATGAATACTTCCTTGATATTGGAAATCACTTGGTCGAAAAGCAAGGATTGTATCTTGAGCGTTATCACGTCTGGGATAATATGGAAAACTCTTCAAACTCCCAATTTAAATTCACTATTAAAATTTTGATCATGTCAGTTATGATGCTGATCAAAATTAGCTTTTAGCTAATTTACTAGATTTTTTATATTTCTTGTTCAACCCATACTTATCCTATACATACCATGCAGTTGTATATTTTAGGTAAAGCAAACAATAAACCAGAAGTTATTCGAAAATAATTACTTTTCTTTGAGTTTTTAATTCCTTTGTCTTTTAGACAATTGATATCGTTTGATTCCTTAATTTTAAGCTCTACCTTAATTGTTCTCCTTTTGTCTAATTTTATTATTAAAAATATAAATTTTGGCCATTTTTTAAGTTGGTGAGTTTGTAATGTTTTAAAACATGCTGAATTTTTCTTTATTCTGTAACCCATCAAACTCTATTTTTCATCATATACTAAAACGTCTCCTTCTTTGGTTGAAACTCATTTATAAATGATTTGTTAAACTTGTCACATTTTCGAGTTCCCAAAATAAATTACTTAAAAAAATCGGAAGTAACTGACAATATCTTGGTAAGAAATTTTAATACTACTTGATCAATAAGAATAAACAAATTGAAAGAAGTGATTAAATTTTTTAAGGAATTCAGGGTTATTAACTGCTTTGTTTGAGTTTAGTATGTTAAACTTATTAAAAACCTTTCCTTTACAAACCCTTTTGAACTTTTAATTATCAAATGTGAGAATTCTTACACTTGATTATTAGTTTAAGGATCGATCGAAAACTCTGTAGCATAGAAACTTCTTTCTAATGTCCAAACTTAAAACTTTTTCAAACATTTTCTTTCTTTTAAAATATAAAAATAAATCTGTTTGAAAAAATATCCTCAAAACAGTATTTGATATCGTGTAATCAGCATCAAAATTTATGGCCAGTCAAATCAATTTGTTCCACGACCTTTTGGATAAATCAGAAAAGTATCTGATTTTAATTGGAATATGGCCGAGTTTTAATAATCAATGCGTAACATTATTAAACATTATTCTTATGTTCGGTTTCTCGATTATGGTACTGATCAAGAATCTTTTGAACCCAGAAAAAGAGTCAATAGAAAATGCAATTGCACTTGCCAATGGAGGACTATGTACTGTTGTGTATTTTGTGACAATGTTTATCAAAAAGGAGAAGTTTTTGGATTTTTTGGATTTTATTAAATCTCAAAAGAAACTTTTTGCAACTGAAGATGACAAAAAATTAATGATTGCTGGTGGAAGGGAATACAAAATGATAGTGACTGCTCTTCTATACATCCTTCCTGTTGGAATTGCTGTACGCTTTTTTCAAATCCCAATCGAGTATGGATACATTGAGCTATTTCAAGAAAACCAGACTTTCACTCTACCTCCTTCAATGGGAATTCCAGCTTCTGTTTTTGGAGAAATACCTGCATATGTTTTGGAATCATTCGTACGAATGGCTATGCTGAGCATGATCATCGGAATATGTACAATATTCATTCTATCAACACTATACATGTGTACTCAGTTCAATATTCTTGCATTGGAGATGGAAAAATTTTGTGAAGTTGACGAGAAAGTCATCGACAAAATAATTGAAAGGCATGAAGAACTCTTGACATACACAAAACTATTGAATGAGATCTATGCGCCATATTTCTTCGCCAACTGCTTTTTGAGCTTCATTAATATTTCAATATTATTATTCTCCTTCCTTACTCATAATGCAAGGATAACAAATTATATTGTGGAAGTTCCATTGCTAACAGTTGGCATTTCTCAATTATTTTTTGTGCTGTTTTTTGGTGATAGATTGATTGATGCTGTAAGTTAAAAACCTATTTCAAATTTTTCGTATGGTGGTCGATGGTTTACCAAATACATGATTTAATTTTGTCTAGACATCAAAAATATCTACAGCAGCATATAATTCAGAATGGTACACGAAGCCAGTTAAAATTCAGAAGAAGATTTTACTCATAATTATGCGTGCGAGGAAGCCACAGTCACTAAATGTTGGAGGTAATGATGTTATGGTCGCATCAATGCTACTCTTTTCACAGGTGAGTCGACTAATGTTTTTAAATATATAAAAAACACAATCAATTTTTAAAAATATCATTAGATTCTACAAAGAGCTTGGGGAGCATTTAACCTTTTGAATTCCACCATTAAGGATTCATAAATGATTTTTGTTTTTTGATTTTGTACATTTTGCAAACGATTGAAAAATAAAATTTAAGAAAATTCGAAAAATTTCTCAAATAATCCTTAAAAATAATTCATAAATTTCTAGGAATAAACCACATAAAAACTAATGACAAAGCTCAATGATTGTGAAGTCAACAAATTCAAAGACATTTAAGAAATTGAAAGGAATGTTTAAATCCCAGTCATATTTAATTAACTCGATTGCAGGGATATCTAACATTGTAATGTTAATAAACTTCACATCAAATGCCAACAAAAACCCTTCCATAAGAAAGAGGCGTTTTCAGTGCCGCATAATCGATTGACTTAAAAATTTCAGTGACCAAACCTATAATTATTATGTTCTTTGATCACAAATAGTATAAATTCAATGGGCTTTAAAATTATCCTTCAAAACAGTTTTAGATTTTGAATGAAAAGTTTTAAGCAAATATGAACAATAGCCAAGTTAATTTGTTCCATGAGCTTTTGAAAAAGTCAGAAAAGTATTTAGTTCCTATAGGAATTTGGCCTAGTCCAAAGAATTCCTGGATAACATTGTTCAACATATTCATTTTATTCAGCTACTCAATTCTAGTTCTCATTAAGAATCTTTTAAATCCTGAAGGTGAATCTATCGAAAATGCATTTACTTTGGCCAACGGAGGACTTATTACTGTGGTTTATTTTGTAACTTTGGTCTTCAAAAAGCAGAAGCTCATTGCATTTTTTGAATTTATAAAAAATCACAAGATAATTTTGACAAGTGACGAAGCAAAAAAATTAATGGTTGCAGGTGGAAGAGAGTATCAAAAGATATCGACTGCTTTTCTTTACATCCTACCTGCCGCTGTCCTTGTTCGGTTTTTGCAGCCACCACTTGAATATGGATTCAATCAAATTTTTCGAGATGATAAGAACTTTACTTTGCCCCCTTCAATGGGAATTCCAACTTTTGTTGTTGGTGAAATTCCAACTTACATCTTAGAATCAATTGTCCGAATGATAATGCTGAGTACCTTGATGGGTGTCTGTGCTATATTCATTGCTTCGACTTTATATATTTGTACTCATTACAATATTCTTGCATTGGATCTAGAAATGTTTCGCGATGATGACGCTACCATTAACAAATTGATTGAAACCCATCAGGAGCTTCTTTACTTTACAAAACTATTGAACGAGATTTTTTCTCCATATTTTTTTGCCGATTGCTTTTTTAGTTTCATCAATTTGTCAATTATGATGTTCTCACTTATTGCGCATAATGCCAAGATTACGAATTTTATGATGGAAGTTCCATTAGTGACTGCAGGAATGTCACAACTGTTTTTCGTTCTTTACTTTGGAGATCGATTAATGGAAGCAGTAAGATTAAGCATAAATTATTAAAGGCTAAGGTAATATTTTATATTTCTTTAAATTCAAGACTGCTCAAATATCTAATGCTGCTTATAAATCAGAATGGTTTTCCGCGAGTATGAAAATTCAAAAGAAAATTGGTTTCATAATTTTGCGTGGTCAAAGACCACAGACATTAAATGTTGGAGGAAATGACGTCATGGTCGCATCCATGCTTCTCTTTTCACAGGTAAATTAGAATATTTATTTCAGTTCCTAGGATCAATTTACATTGATTTTGTTCACAGATTTGTCAAAAAGCTTGGGGTGCCTTCAACATTTTACGAACTACTGTTTAAACTTAAATTTTTTTATTAAAACACTGCATCTTCATTGTGCATGTTTGTTGACGAACTATTATTGTGGATAATTGTCACACCACCTTGATCATGATTATGAATGGAATCAGTACTTTCTATTGGAAGGAAGCAGTCGGATGATATCTGGAAATTATATAATTATTGTATCTATTCAACTGTATACCATTTCTTACAACACTTACCTCCATACTATTATTCATTGAGTTTTTAGGAATATTAACAATTTTCTGAGTTTCCTCTTCTTTATCCAGCAATCCTTTCTCATGATTCAATAAATGTTGTTTAAGGCGATCTGGATTTACTGATACAAAATCGCACAGTGTGCATTTCATAGTTGAATACAGCTCTGGATGTTTATACAGCATATGATTCTTTAATCCAGTAGATTGGATAGCAAAATAATTACAATTCTTGTCAAGGCACTTGTATTTTCCTTCTGTTGATGTCTGATGAAGTTTCTTATGCTTATTAATAACACTTGGATCAGAGCATTTGAATGAACAGACGTCACAAGACAGGATTTTAGCACTTTCATCAGATAGATGTGACAAATGAGTTCGTGTATGGATCTGAAATAAATTAATAATGCACATCAAGAGTATTTTTAATTTTAAAGACATGCTAATTACATCCAGTGTCGATTTCCTTGTAAACTGTTTGTTGCACACTTGACAAATCAGTGACTTTAGTTTGTGATGGACATGTTTAACATGTTTTGATAGCGTCTTCTGATTCTTAAATTTCATATCACAAATACTGCAAATTTTTGGTGAAAAATAGCTCTGTTTCTTAGGTATTTCTTTTGGAGGAGATTCTTCAAAGTAATCCTTTTCTGTATCATCGTTATGTTCATCAGTCGAGTAGCTACTTTCAAAAAGTATATTCGGCAATGGTGGTGCCTGTAAGATACTGACTGTATTAAAATTTTATAAATTTATTAAATGAACCACATTACTAATGATTTCTGCTCTTTATCCTTCTCAACATATCCATGCTGTAATATTAATTTAGTGAACAGTTAATGTTTCATTCAGAAAAGCTGTAAAAATTCTATTTACTTACTTTTGTGATATAATGAGTTTTCAGTAACTCAATATTACCAAAAATATCAATACAAATATATTCACAAAAATTGAAAATTTTGTGTGAATATGATTGAACAAACGAAACGCTCTTCGATTGTTTTGCATTTGTTCAGTTCCTCTGGATCGAAAGGCTTCAGTTTAAGCATTGACATTGCTTGCGATTCTAATTAATTCAATTTATTTCCTTCACTTTTAAATTTCGAAAAAGTAATGTTTACAAACAAACATATGCGGCCTGTTTCACTAAAGTGGATTATCCTTGATTTCGGATTATCCACTTCAGTTTTTTGGAAATATCTTAAACTTTATGGGAGGTGTGGTATTTCTAATTTTGGATTATAATAGAGTGAGCTATGCATGATATTTCTGTATACTTTAAACTTTTACTTTTCGTTAAGAACTATCAATTATTCAATTTCCTAGCCAAATCTAGTAGATTAACTTCAGTTTTTGCTATAATTCTCAAACTAGTGAAGATTTAAAAATTCTAAGTATATGATGATTTAAGTAGCAAAGTACTCTTGCTAGATCACACATTAAATCTCTTAATAACCTTAAGCGTCTGGCGATATTTCCAAAAAACTGAAGTGGATAATCCGAAATCGAGGATAATCCACTTTAGTGAAACAGGCCGATGAAGATTAATGTTGACACTCAAAATAGCTTCTGAAATGTCAATGCGACAGAGGGCAGCAGGAGACAATTGTGCAATATGCTGTAAAATACTGAATTAAGCTGCAAAATAAATTTTAATTAAACTTTTGAAGATCAAAAAGTTCAAGATTCAAAGTGTTCACGCCTTGAAAAAAGTTTTTTAAAAATTTCGCGAGCGTTTAAAAATGCAGCATAATTTTTTATGTATTCACTATTTATTTCCATCATCTTTAAGATTATACATTTTTCAAAACATTTTTTTTGTAATTCTTTTATATAAAGCATGCTCTCATTTGTTCTTTATCTAATCACTTTTTTAATTTCAATCTAAAAGTATTTTCTTTTTTATGTTTCATGCTATAAAATGTTATTTTTTCATGCGCAAAAATCACCGGAAAATCTTCATTAATTTTTCATCTTGCCAGGATTTCAGATCATAATTGTACAGGAGTGCAGATTTCTTCTAATTAGCGAATTGATAATTTCTAAGTCAAAAAATCCTGACAAAAGCTCGACAAAACATTTTCCAGCAATTTCCACAATTTTGAACATATTTTTTTTATATGAAAAATCGAAGATAAAAATTTATTTAATAGGAATGAAATTCTTTCGAATATTCTTATGCATTTTTCTCATAACTAGGTCGTCATTTGTTACCGACTTATCAGTTGCCAAAATAATGATGATTTTTTAAATTTTCATGTATTCAATATCATAACATCTTACATTATTTATGTTATACTAATGTGTTTATTTTATCGATATTTTATTCATTCTTGTGAAAAAGTCAGTTTTTTTTTTCTTTATTGAAGTATAAATAGAAGTTTGTATTCTTCTGGCTTGTTTTTGTTTCATTCTTTCATGTAAATTAAGCATGTATTGCAACCAACGTGTCATAACTTGTGCATTTTTACTCTACTGATTTTCTCCTTGAATTTGCTTTAACTGCTGAGCCTAAGTACACTGTTTATTATGTTTCTTGATAACGCAAATGTCGAAAGGTCGTGAGCTTTTTTTATGAGGAACTTGTCTTATCTGAATTTCCTTATTATTAAACTGATTTTCTCATGCGTTTTACGTGATTTTCAATGACATCGTGAGTCATCATGTTCAAAATATCGTCCGGAATAGGCTCATTCACCTGCTAATTTGCCAGGTTAAATTTAAGATTTAACATTCAAACTTAACTTAATCGAAGGATTAATTTTTATAAAAAGGCTTAATGGAATAATCTATTTGTTCAATTCGCTATGTATTGTTTCGAAAGCTCAAAAAATGCAATGAAAAATGAATCTAAAAGCTCAAGACAGTTGTTCAGTAATCCCACTTCAATTCAGTTTAGTTCATTTGCATTTTCGAAAACCGTTGAATGTTAAAAGTTTGAAATCAGTTCCTCAAAAATGGATGAAATTTAAAATTTAAATAATGATTAAAAAGCTGTTGAAATTCAGTTTACAAATCAGGGAAAAATGCACCTTAGTCATTCAGTTCCGACCACTGATTGACACATTAGTTTTATAACAAAATTATTCGTCATGCTTTAACTATGTCAGTAAATGAACAACTGAAAAAGTTGATTCTTCTACAAATTGTTCACTTAATTAATATCTGTGATATAGAATATAGACAACTTAGATTAAGGAAGTTCGGGTAGTAATATAGGCAGAGAGAAAGAGAGAGTGTTTGTGAGAATGAAACAGATTTGGAGAGAAAGTAAGAATAAGAATTGTTTAATTACTGGTTTTTAACGTTTATTTTCATTTTTTTATCATCGTCCTACAGCAGTTATCATAATTCAATAAAAAATAAGTTTTTTGCTTAAGAAAGAAACAAGAAATGGAGATGAGTCACGTAAATTACATTTACGATACTTTAATATTTTTTTTAAAAAAATCCCTTTCATGCATTTATTTTCAGCATTATCTTTTTTTTTTTTAAATTCAAAAACGTTTTATTCAATAATAATAACTATGTCCATTCATTCAATAATAACAGAAAGAAGTTAAATAAGGACATTTTTCCAATATTTTCACTGCTCCTTATTTTTTGATTTTTCATCGTCGCTTTTCTCTTTCGTGTGTGTGTGTGTGGGTTTTTTGGGTGTGGGGAAGCAAAAAAGTTATAAAAACTCTTCTTTTTGTTGAAATATTCAAGTTAAAATTATACAATAATTAAATATTAAATTTATATAGCTTTGTTAATTCATGAGAACCTTTTATATCAGATATTATTTAAATTAAATTTGTATTCTGTATGCTTTAATTTTTTCTTCTTCTTGCTCATCCATTTAACAGTCATTTTGAGAGAGGAATTTAAAATATATTTATAATCATCTTTATTTCATAAGAAATTAAATTAAAGAAAACTTTTGCTGCTTATTTTTTCTTTCATTTTCATTTTTTTTTGTTGTTGTAATTATGGTAGAGGAAAATCAAAAAATTTGTTTTTGATCGTCGTTGTCGTGGATAGAGAACGAGAAACACAAATTAAAATAATAATAATAATAATAAAGTATTAACAGAATGAAAGATTTAATAAGATATCTTTTTGTTTTCAAGGAAGTTACACAGGATTTGATGAAAATTTTCTATAATTTCTTTTGTTTCGTTTAATTTTGAAGGAGGAATAAGGTAAGTAAGGAGAGAAGTAGTAGTAGATTACATAGTCTATTGATTGTTGCCCTTGAAGCCCACCGCATGAGGCATTTGTCCATTGACAATAACAGCAAAATATGGATGATCCATAGCTTCGCGAGCTGTTAATCTAGCACAGTGATCATAACGAAGAAGCTTATCGAGAAAGTCGAGGGCTTCAGGCGATACGAGATGCTGGTTCTCCGAATGTACGAACCTTTCCCATCGTTTACGCGAATGTCTCGATAAAATATCATTGAATCTTGGATCAAGTTCTATATTATATTTGTCCAAATAAGCATATAATTCCTCGGTGCCGAGAACTTTTGCAATTCGTACCAATTGATCATAATTGTCATGCCCATGAAAGAATGGCTCTTTGCGAAAAATCATTGATGCGAGCATACATCCAAGGGACCACATGTCTAATGAGTAGTCATACATTTGATAATCGACAAGTAATTCGGGTCCTTTGAAGTAACGACTAGCGACACGAACATTATACTCTTGGCCTGGATGATAAAATTCGGCGAGACCCCAATCAATAAGACGTAATTTGCGATTCTCATGATCTATCATAACATTATGTGGCTTGACATCTCGATGCATTATTCCCATGCTGTGACAATAGTCTAATGCTTTTAGGAGCTCATACAAATAGAATCTGATATCGTAATCAGTGAGTGTTTGATACAGCTGCTTAAAATCTGTATTGTTGACGTGCTCGAAGATTAAAGCTGGTGTTCGAGAAACTGGATCTTTGACGACTGCAAGCAATGTGATGATATTAGTTCCGCCTCTAAGATTTTCTAAAATCTTAATTTCTCGTTTGATCTTCTTCTTCTTGACAGGCTTGAGGATTTTCACGACACACTTTTCATTGTTGGTGACATTAATTGCCTCAAATACTTCACTGTATTTGCCTCGACCGAGTTTCCTAACTAGCTGATAATCATCCTGATTAGCCCAATCAACCACATAATTTTCATAGTCCCAATACTCTCGTGGCTTATGGGAATTCACGTCAGCATACACTCGAGCATTTGATGGTAGTGTCATTGTTCTTCGTTTAATTATGTTGCTGTTATTAATATTACTATTGTTGTTGAATAAAGATGAATAAGAATTGCCAACTGTATTACTGTTATTATTATTATTGGATGTTCCTGCTGTTCCTATTGACGAGATAATTGATGATGTTGCAATTAAAAATCTTTTGTACAGGTGTTGTAAAGTAGTTGTATGCTGAAGGAGGCCTCGAGTAAGTAAGTTTAAGCTTGATGGAAACAGTTTTAATAGTGTGAATAGGACTAATTTTTATCTAATTAATGATTCTAGCTCTGATTTGATTTGATTCTTTTTTTTATACTTTACTGGGTGATTTGCTTAGTTAACAGGATGCTCTTTTTTCTAATTTTTTTCATAAGTAGGACTTTATGTAGGTAGGCAGAGTAGTATGTATGTTAAGTTATTTGGGAACAGAAGCGCACACACAAAAAAGAAGCACGTTGGTTGAACTCACTGGCCTTTTTCCTCACACTTATTAATTCACACTTATACAGCAAATTTGCTACTACACAAATGCTCACCTTCTGTGCTGTTCGGTCGATGATTTTTTGTTCTGATGTTTCTACCAAGTTCCAAAAACTCGAAAAAGGCGAGCAAAATGGACGACGGGACTTGATACTATTTCTTTTCAAATGGCAAAAAATTATCTCTGAAATTTCATAATTAGACACTATTAAACACAATTCTCGTCAACACAATTAATCAAACTATACCATTAAGACCCGCAACTATCGATCAAACACTCCAAAAATAGCAGCAAATACTGGAAAATGTTTATTTAATAAAATTTATACTTTCGGAAACTCGAAGACTTTTTTCATTCGCTTTTTATCAAATGGCAGCTTCAAAAGATCCGTGTCAATCACACTACTGAAAATGTGCGGTCTCTATCCTAATCTTCAACTTTTCATTCAATTTTATTATTTTTTTCATTAAATTAATTCAATTCATCAATTATAAGATGTAATGAAAATGATTTTGAGATGTATTTCTCTAATAAGTTGGATCGAAATTGTGATTTTAACTTTTCGAAAACTTAGTATTTTTGTCCTGGCTCAAGTTACAGGATTTCGAAAAATTCAAAATTTTTTATGCGGGAAAACCAGTAAACTTTAACAGCATGATCAAGCATGGCAGTGACTTTACTACCATGTATTACCTGAAAATAGACATAAAATGAATTGAGAAGAAAAACAGTGGAAATTTGATTTTTACCGCAAAAAAAAAGTTATTTCTAAAGATTTATTCTTCAAAAAGTTTCTTTCCAAAAATATTATGTTTCTTATAAAAAGATTACAAATTATTATCATTCTCTCTGTGGTCTTAATACTTTTTTCTTAGTTCTTAGCAAGAACGCCATGTGCCAATAGTAAAAATCATAAATGGAAGTTATATAGTTTTCATTGAATGTGTATTTTAATCCAGCAAAAAAAAATAGTTGAACAAACATAAAATTATTCGTTATTTGAAAAAAATGCATATTTATGTTGGCGTGTATATTATATTCGGAATGATATAAGAAAATTTTTTAATATATAGAATGTTAAGAAAATTTCTTAATCGCATTGTTGTTGCTGTTGTTATAGATGTTGAACCCACACTTGTTTCCTTTTTCCTTCTAAACTCTTTTCTATGAAAATTATAATTTTTACCATTAGAAATAATTTTTCTTGTTTGTTTGTGCGGATTAATGATAGTTGTTGTTAAAATAGGAATGGAGAGCGACGATGAAAGCGGTACTGATTGGGTATTTGCTGGGTTTTCAAGATGGTGTTTAATCAGCACAGAATTGTTGTTGATGTCATCATCGTCGTCGATTTTCGAAATAGTTTCATCAATGCATGGCTATTTCTTAACCTTTTGTGCCTTTTCAGCAGCCTTTGTTGTCTTACCGCCTGAAGCATCCTTGAATGATACAGCCTTAATGACACCGACAGCAACAGTTTGTCTCATATCACGAACAGCAAATCGTCCAAGTGGAGGGAATTCTTGGAAGGATTCAACGCACAATGGTTTTGTTGGAACCAAGATGACAATAGCAGCATCTCCTGATTTGATGGCCTTTGGATTGTCTTCTACTGATTTACCTGAACGACGATCGACCTTTTCCTTAATTTCATTGAATTTGCAGGCAATATGAGCTGTGTGACAATCCAAGACTGGTGTATAACCATTTGAAATTTGACCTGGATGGTTCAAGACAATAACTTGAGCTGTGAAATCAGCAGCTCCCTTTGGTGGATTGTTCTTGGTGTCACCAGCTACATAACCACGACGCAATTCCTTGACTGAGACGTTCTTAACGTTGAAACCAACATTGTCTCCGGGAACGGCTTCTTGAAGAGCTTCATGATGCATTTCAACTGACTTAACTTCAGTTGTCAAGTTGACTGGAGCGAAAACAACAACCATACCTATTTAAATTGGATTAAAAGATCTATAATTAGCATAAAGTATGCAAGGAATACAAATAGCTTTAACTTGCCTGGTTTAATTACACCAGTTTCAACACGACCGACTGGTACTGTTCCGATACCTCCGATTTTGTAGACATCTTGAAGTGGTAAACGTAAAGGCTTGTCTGTTGGGCGACTTGGGGGTAAGATAGCATCGAGAGCTTCAATGAGGCACTTTCCATCAGCTTTGCCTTCTTTACGTTCGACAGCCCATCCCTTGAACCATGGCATCTTTGAAGATGTTTCCAACATGTTATCTCCGTGCCATCCTGAGATTGGGACGAAAGCAACAGCTGCTGGATTGTAACCAATCTTCTTGATGTATGATGAGACTTCCTTCTTAATTTCCTCGAAACGTGATTCTGAGTATGGTGGTTCAGTTGAATCCATTTTGTTGACACCAACAATCAATTGCTTGACTCCCAATGTGAAAGCTAACAAAGCATGTTCACGAGTTTGACCATTCTTTGAGATACCAGCTTCAAATTCTCCAGTACCAGCAGCAACAATCAAGACAGCACAATCGGCTTGTGAGGTTCCAGTAATCATGTTCTTGATGAAATCACGATGTCCAGGAGCATCAATAATGGTGACATAGTATTTAGCTGTTTCGAACTTCCACAATGCAATATCAATGGTAATACCACGTTCACGTTCAGCCTTCAATTTGTCCAAAACCCATGCATATTTGAATGAACCCTTGCCCATTTCTTGTGCTTCCTTTTCGAATTTCTCGATTGTTCTCTTATCGATACCACCGCATTTGTAGATCAAATGTCCAGTTGTTGTTGACTTTCCGGAATCGACGTGTCCAATGACGACAATGTTAATATGAACCTTTTCCTTTCCCATTTTGTTGGATTACTATATACATACATGTAATAATGGCGAGAAGAAAAAGAACAATATGAGTCAGACGATTTTCTCTGTTTCTATTCCTGTATATTCGGCATATTGAAGCAACATGTGTCAATTTTCAAAGTTGTGAAATTCTCAAAAATTTCCCTAAAGTGATTCTATTTGCATTTCATGTCCATTTGTATCAACAATAATAGATGTTCGGACTAGATAAATTCTACTTATTGCACGTAAATTAAGCGAAAAAAAATTTCTCTGAACCATTAAAAAAATTCAATATGGCGGATATTACCTTATGACAAAAAAAAGTTTTCTCAATTTGGTTTCTCGAAATTCTCATTAATTACATGACATTTTATCACGAAAATTGATTATAAACATTACTAATGTTGATATAGAAATGTTTAAATGATAAAATTACATGTAGTTTATGTACTTTTCTAGATAAATGAAGAAACATGAAAAACATGTGCTTGAGAAAAATTTGCAGTCTTTTTCAGCAAGTTTTTCGATAAAATCAACAGGTGAAAATAAGCAAAAATAATTAATTATAGTAGATAAAAATTAATAATGAGCATTAGAAAACTATCTAATTGATACATAAGCCAATAATTGGCAATGAAAAAAGCCGCATATATGCCACGCACGCGGTCAATTACTTTTAAATAGATTTAAATTCACTTTAGAGATGAAAATTTGTATACAAACCACTTTGAAAATGCACTTATTATCAAATGAAAACTTAATTAAACAATAAACTATTAATAAGATATTAAAATAACTTACATTAATTAACACAAGATCAGAGCAAAAATGAAAAACGTTTGAACTGTCTGACTGCTGTAAAGCAAATGGACGAGACAAAGGTTCTTTCACGAACTCAATTGAAAATTTTGAAAATCAAAATACCGTTACTTTTTTTGTACTTTCTAGATTAGCAATGAGACTGTAACTTCCAATTTAAAATTCTCTTGCACGGTATGCTTCTTGCAGTTCCTTTGTGTGAATGTGAAGTTTAATTTACTACCTTTTTTTCGAGTCTTTAACTTTGAAAGTTTGATACTTTAGTTTTTCTCATAACTCGAAAGTGATATTTGTTCTTTAATGATTATGCATGACTTCGAAAGAACAGCCACATCCGCTAGTGCAACATTGTGTCTAATCAATCTTTCATGTCATTTTGCTTCTCTCATTCAATGTTTTCTGGATGTTGATGATATATTGTAAAGACTTAAAAGTCTTAATGAAACTGGTTTAATAAATGTCATTTTAGGTCTTTAATTCCAAGTCAGTAATTAGTTTTTTTTTGACAGTCCCAGCAGCATAAAAGAGCATAGAAATAGTTATCAAATTAGTCAATTGTTTGGTATTCATGAACTTCCACACATTGATTAAATCATATTTCTCACAATTCTTTAATTCCTTTTACATATAAGATTATGCTAATTTTAAAACTGTGTATATAAGATGCAGGATATCCATTAAATCAGAATAAAAATACGGAATAGTCAAAACATTAATCAACATCATGGAAGTCAGCTAAAGGGGGTTGAAGCTATATAAGAAGTTCATACTTTGCAGAGAACTCAACCTTTCTCGTTCTTTTCAACTTCAAACCCTTGAAGATGGCAGTCGGAAAAAATAAAGGTAAATTAAATTGACGTAGAAATCAGTCAAAAGTTAATGAAATTAACATTGCAATTCATTAATAAGTGGATAAGCTATGTAGAAATGTTGAAAGCAGGAAAGTAATTGCTTATTTTAATCTATATAATTTAGGTTTAGCCAAAGGTGGCAAAAAAGGAACCAAAAAGAAGATCATCGATCCATTCACTCGTAAGGATTGGTATGATATCAAGGCACCATCCATGTTCACAACTCGTCAAGTGGGCAAGACATTAGTAAATCGTACGCAAGGAACAAAAATTGCAAGCGAAGGTTTAAAAGGTCGCGTGTTTGAAGTTTCATTAGCTGATTTGCAGAACGATAACGATGCTGAGAGATCTTTCCGCAAATTTAAGCTTATTGCTGAAGATGTCCAAGGAAGAAATGTGCTCACAAACTTCCACGGAATGGATTTAACAACCGATAAATTGAGGTAAATAAAGTTCATGTACACAAACATAACCTCAACATCCAATGTTTATATTCACTCTTGTTCATATTTTTAGATCAATGGTCAAGAAATGGCAAACATTGATTGAATGCCACGTTGATGTCAAGACAACTGATGGATATTTGTTACGTGTATTCTGTATTGGATTCACAGCCAAGGACAGTTCATCTCATCGTAAGACATGCTATGCCCAAACCTCTCAAATCAAAACAATCCGCAAGAAGATGACAGATATCATCAATCGTGATATCGCCAGCTCTGATTTGAAGGAAGTTGTTAACAAATTGTTGCCTGATTCAATCGCCAAGGATATCGAGAAGGCATGCCATGGTGTTTATCCACTCCATGATGTCTTTATCCGTAAAGTAAAGGTATTGAAGAAGCCTCGTTTCGATCTTTCGAAATTACTTGAATTGCACGGAGATGGAGGCAAGTCAACTGAACCAACAGCCACTACAGCTGCAGTCGAGGGAGTTCCAGTTGAACGACCAGAAGGATATGAACCACCAATTCAAGCAGCAGTCTAAACATTGAAAAAATTCCATTAACTACAATTAGACTCCATCAAAAAAGATTTCAAGAAATGGATCAGAATACAAAAGAAATGCTTTGTATAGCTTTCAAGAACATCTGAAATTAAAAATGATTTATTGAATACAGAAAAATTGCTAAAGTTTCTCGTCCACAAAATTTGAAAACTGAACAACTGATGTTCTTCTAATAATCTTTATGCAGTTTTTCCTTTTTCTGTTTTTTGAACATTTTAATTTAACTGGATTCTATTTTTTGGGACCAATTTTATTTATTTCTTTACAGGAAGCTGGATATTTGCAGCAATTTAGGTAAGTCTCAAATCGTACTCTCTTATTAATGCTTTCAAAATGATGTTCTTATTATTTTTCGTCTCTGATGATAGATCATTTTGAAAAATAATAAAATAACAATTTGATCTTTGCGGACAACTCATTACTGATTGAATCAATGATTCTTAAACTAATGATTTATTTTACTGTTTTCTAATCAAATTATATTCTGTATCTTTCTAGATTGCTGCTAATTTCAAGAGTTTTGCATTATAAAGTTTTTAGGTGAGTTATGTTCATTAAACAACAATTTAACTCTATTTTTATGATGATCCCCTTAACTCAGCTCGCTTTGAGTTCCCATGAAGAGAACTTGTTCCCCACACATATCCTACGCAAAAAAAGATTAGTGGAACTGACTAAAAACTGGAATCTTTTCTTTCTCATAACTTGAACCTTTATTAAAAGATTTTTTTTCCCCCATTTGCAGGTTTTACAGGAGAATGCCAAGGACTTGAGGCTTAAATTAATAAAAATACATGCTTAAAGGTCAGTATTACTAGATTTTCTATTCTAAAACTTTCAATTTTATGTTGAAAGCTAAAAAAATATAATTTTACTATGATGATCCCTTTAACTCAGCTCGCTTTGAATGTCTGTGAAGAGAATTTGTTCCCCACATATATCCTACGCAAAAAACGATTAGTGGAACTGACAATTTCTTCTTTAAAAACACTGCAATGATTTTAGTTTTGTAAATCTAATCAAGGTTTTGTTTATTTCACAGAATTGAAGGAATTCAACTAATTTGCTTGTTCGGTTTACTCAAAAAAATTAGGTAAGTTCTTGGAAAGAAAACTTCACATAACTATTTGACTCTATTATGATGATCCCTTTAACTCAGCTCGCTTTGAATGTCTGTGAAGAGAATTTGTTCCCCACATATATCCTACGCAAAAAACGATTAGTGGAACTGACAATTTCTTTCTTTAAAAACACTGCAATGATTTTAGTTTCGTAAATCTAATCAAGGTTTTGTTTATTTCACAGAATTGAAGGAAATTGACAAATTGCTTTGCCCGGTTTCCTTAAAATATTAGGTAAGTTCTTGGAAAGAAAACTTCACATCACTATTTGACTCTATTATGATGATCCCTTTAACTCAGCTCGCTTTGAATGTCTGTGAAGAGAATTTGTTCCCCACATATATCCTACGCAAAAAACGATTAGTGGAACTGACAATTTCTTTCTTTAAAAACACTGCAATGATTTTAGTTTTGTAAATCTAATCAAGGTTTTGTTTATTTCACAGAATTGAAGGAATTCAACTAATTTGCTTGTTCGGTTTACTCAAAAAAATTAGGTAAGTTCTTGGAAAGAAAACTTCACATAACTATTTGACTCTATTATGATGATCCCTTTAACTCAGCTCGCTTTGAATGTCTGTGAAGAGAATTTGTTCCCCACATATATCCTACGCAAAAAACGATTAGTGGAACTGACAATTTCTTTCTTTAAAAACACTGCAATGATTTTAGTTTCGTAAATCTAATCAAGGTTTTGTTTATTTCACAGAATTGAAGGAAATTGACAAATTGCTTTGCCCGGTTTCCTTAAAATATTAGGTAAGTTCTTGGAAAGAAAACTTCACATCACTATTTGACTCTATTATGATGATCCCTTTAACTCAGCTCGCTTTGAATGTCTGTGAAGAGAATTTGTTCCCCACATATATCCTACGCAAAAAACGATTAGTGGAACTGACAATTTCTTTCTTTAAAAACACTGCAATGATTTTAGTTTCGTAAATCTAATCAAGGTTTTGTTTATTTCACAGAATTGAAAGAAATTGACTAATTGCCTTGCCCGGTTTCCTTAAAATATTAGGTAAGTTCTTGAGAAGAAAACTTCACATTGCTATTTCACTCTATTATGATGATCCCTTTAACTCAGCTCGCTTTGAATATCTGTGAAGAGAATTTGTTCCCCACACATATCCTACGCAAAAAAAAGATTAGTGGAACTGAATAAGACCTAATGAAACGAAAAAATCTTAATGTACTATTAAATTAGACGTTTCTAATGCATATCATTTTTTCTTTCATCAACAGGTTTTTACATAACTTAAATTTGATATGTGGTAGCAGCCGTCATGTTTCGTCAAAAAACTTTAAGGTAAGAGATTAATTATAATTATTTTAAAGTCTTGAATCCTTAAATTCATAAAGGATATAAGCTACATATACAATTTATTATGATGATCCCCTTAACTCAGCTCGCTTTGAAAAACCATGAAGAGAATTTGTTCCCCACATATATCCTACGCAAAAAAAAGATTAGTGGAACTGACAAAAAATCTTTATGAACAAAAAAAAAAGCTTTAGACAATCATATACTAATATTTTCGCATAATTATAATTACAGATTCGCTTTTGGATTTGACAACATTTTATGGCTTGTGATAGGTTTGAATTTACTCAAGGCAAAATAAAAGTTTAATTTTGATAAGATATTAAAAAGATTTGCACTTTTACTGCTCTTTACTTTTTAGATCAAGTTTTTCTTAAAATTTCAGAAATATATTGCTACTCAAAATTCGTCACAAAAACGATAGCTGCAACATCTCATTAACATTTTTGTAACTGCTGAAATTCCTATTAAAAACGTTTACAACTTATAATTGTGATTAGCTTGATAAATAAAAAATGATTTTTTTAGTCAAACTAGAGAGACTTTTTCCTAGGAAATACTTATTTGCTCATTACGATTTAAAAGAGAAGCTTCCAGCAATTTCACTGTGATAAAAACAAAGGAAATAATTAAAATTGAAGCTCAAAACCATACGAATGTATGCTTAATTGGTTTGAAACACTACAAATTCTGCAATTTACACATTTATAATGTTTTACAGCACCGATTTTTTTTAAAAAAATATGTATGTTTTTTTTTATAACTAGCCGTCAGCCAGCGTTTAAAAATATGTGAATCAGCAGTTTATTATTCATACTTTCATAGTGTAATATATCATATACCAGTTTTTAATGTCTAGAAAATCACATGTTTGTGCCAATATATCAACACTTTTTAATCTAATCTCACAAGATTTAACGATGTTTGTTCAGTGAAGAAATTTTTAAACAACAAGTTTGAATGACAAGTTCACCTCGTGATCGATAGAAGCGCATTATCCACATAGAAAATTAAAATTGAAAGAAAAGTCCAAAAAATTAAAGCTGATTCAAGTAAAGAAAGTGATCAGTCACAAAATTATCATTAAATTTCGACATGCTAGATTTTTTCGTTGGATAGGGTGGGGGTGGGAAGTAGCTTAAGATTATTTTCTTGAAAATGTCATCGAAGAATCTAGATGAATATCAATGGAAAGACAGACAAAGTGCGGTCCACAATATCCTTTATATTGAGAGAATGCGCTATAATCGACGAGAAAAACAGTCTGTAGAAAATATTTCAAATAAGCGGAAGCAACTTAATGAGACGATTTTTAATTAGACTTTGTGAAACAGTTAAAGTGTATTTTATTATATTTGTATAAAATCTGTGCTTGCCAAACTTTAGTTTCTTTAAAATTTGAATTTCTTTATTTTGTCAGAAAATTTTATTTTTTATCAGAAAAACTTTGTTTAAAAGAATTGGATTAATTAGCAAAATGATAGGCTTATCTAAGGTAAACTCATGGGACAGTTAAGACATAAGAGTAAAGATATTTATCAATAATTATTAAAAGATCCAGCAGCACAATATTAAAAAAATTATACGTCTTTAAAATCTAGTCAGTAAATAAGACTTCTTATCAAGTTTCCCGAGCCTTACTCTTAGAAATCAGCTCAGGTTATAATATACTAATCTTTTGAGTAAATTACGAAGATTGTGAAACACTTGAGAGATTAGAATCATTAGATTCTTTATTTGTACTCGAAATAAGTGTGCGAATGACATCTCAACATTATTTGTAAATTGCTCGGATTTAGACGAAGTAAACACAATCAACCTTGAAAAAATGAATACATTAATCGAGCTGGTAACGAAATTCTTTTGATCGATTTTATACCACACACTCACATGAGAGTTGCTTATGATGCAATTGCAATTTATGCATACAATAATAATGCTTTCTACTATCTCTTTCTGTATTAATTCTATAAATAAGTCACAATACTTCATGTCACAGAATATACATCATTTAAATAAAATTATATCCCTTCACGTGCAACAACAAAAACAAAAAAGTTTCACAAAATTGCCGACACAACATGCTCTGAGGATGAATTTATGTTGGTTGGTTGGTGTAAATCCTTTATTATTTTTGCGACGCATGCTCAACATTTCAGTTTGTATAAAATCATAAAATTCTCCTGCATCGTAGTTATTTTCTTGTTGTCGTCGTGCTTAGCTAGTCGAGTCAACCAATTTGTTGGTGAAGAATAATACCTTTTAAAAAGTGCATTAAAGTCATATCAAGTGACGTGGATCAAAAGTGCAAATTATTTCCATCAAATTCCGAACAGCAAAGTACCTAAACTACTTTTGTTTACTTTTTCTTTCTATTTAGTTCCATTCTATTGATTTTTTGACTTTTGTAAATCATTGAGTTTCTAGAACTTACTAGATTCACTTTTATGTTGTAAACATATTTTTATCTCCTGTTTTATTTATTTTTAAGTCACTGCATGATTTCTTGTCACGTTCACTATTTTTGAGTATGTAATAATAAATAAAAAATTCTTTATAGGCGACTCGATCACAAAGCGAAATGAGGGACGTAGCAACGAGAGTTTGTCGCGAATATTTATCAGGAGCTTGGAAAAACATATCATCTGATGAAATTCAAGTTAAACGTATGAGGTAAGAAGAACATCACCAAAAAAATTTTTAATGACGCAATGTTCATGTCCAACAAAAATTAAATATTTCTTTACCAGTGGCGGTTTATCGAATTTTCTGTATTATGTGAGCTTACCAAATAATAATGAAAGTAATACAATTGACGATAGTACAATTTCGACCAAACGAACTCGCAAAGAAAGCTACCACAACATTATGGAACCGACTAAAGTTTTATTGCGAATTTATGGCCAGAGTCATGGAGAGAATGCTTTAGAAAATATGTTGACTGAATCAGTCGTGTTTGCATTATTATCAGAGAGGCAATTGGGACCTAAATTACATGGCATTTTTCCTGGCGGTCGAATCGAACAATATATTCCTGTAAATATTATTATCATGCTAAATTTTATTGATCGTTCATTGAGACTTCCTTAAAATTGCTGGACTTGGTGCGATTTTTAAATTCAAAACCATACAAATTCATTCTTAAGCATTGCAATTTTGAAAGATTTTGTAAGGTTTTGAGGAATCAATTACTCGTACCTAAAGTTTCAAAAATCAAGGTCATGTCTCATGAAACAAAAAGAAAATTACCACAAATTCAGTATTTTAGGATTAATCATGGATAACAAATTTTATAGGCTCGCTCTTTAACAACCTCGGAACTTTCTGATGCTCAAATTTCAGCAAAGATTGCAGAAAAAATGGGACAAATTCATAGCTTGCATATTCCAGTCTCAAAGGAAGCAGATTGGATTTTCAACACTATTAATCGATGGCTCAATAATGTCGATACGATTATGAATGACATTAAGAATAATAATAACAAAGAAACGAAAATTCAGGAACTACAGAAACGATTAAGCGAGGTTGATTTAAGAAAAGAAGCAAATTGGATAAGAAAGGTTGCCGAAACTGAGGCATATCCCGTTATGTTTTGTCATAACGACTTACAGGAAGGAAACATTTTATTCAGAGAAAATAATTTCGTACCACCTGATTTGGTTGAAACACTCGATGAGGAAATACATAATCTAGAAGGTGATTTATCTCCAATGTTAATTTCATGTCCAAAGAATAAGATTGAAAAATCTGAAGGAGGAACAAAGCAGGATGTATTAAATGGAAATTCAAGGAAGAGATCATTAAATGATGCAGACATAGATATCAATGAAATAATTGGAACCAATGATTCACCAGAAACGAAAGAACCAGAATTGATGATAATCGATTTTGAGTATTGTGCGTACAATTATCGAGCCTTTGATATGGCTAATCACTTCTTAGAATGGACATATGACTACACAAATAATGAATTTCCATATTTTTATCATCGACCTCACTGCTATCCAAACGACGAACAAATCGATAACTTTATAGTATCATACTTGAAAAGTGTCAACGGAACTAACGAAATGCCAAGTTTGGAAGAGAAGAAGCAACTTCTCGAAGAAATAGCTTTATTTACATTAGCATCTCATTTATTTTGGTGTATTTGGGCAGTCGTTAATATTCATCAAGATATTGAGTTTGGCTATTGGGAATATGCAGATATTCGACTTAATGAGTACTTTAAGGCAAAAGCAAAGTATTTGGAAGAGAAACCGGACACAAAAGAATTTAGCGATATTACATCAAGGAGGAAATAAAATGTTTCCATTGTCGAACTTTATTTATTATATGAATTTTATCAAGAGACGAACTCACAATTATCTCTTTATTGACTCTTTCCATTATACGTGCTTAATTAAATATGGACTGAATTTTTTACCGAATAAAAATAAAAAGTTTATTTCGGGTTGTATGTCGAGAATTCGCGCTTAAGAGATAAGAAACATTGTAAACGATTGTATATCAATATTGTACTTAAGACTTGATGTGAGATACTTTTAATCTCCTCATATGATATATGATATGTACCTTCTTCAAATTAAGAGAAAAAGAGAGAAAGATAGAAACGGCAATATGCAGTTAAAGAAATATTTTTATGATAATTATCAAATTAAACTTAATAAAGTCCTCTTTTTTAATATTTTATAGCAATAAAGTTTAAATGGATATAAGTGCTTGATGCTTAGGCCAAATAGATGTACTTTTTATTGTGATATTAATGTCATTATATCCAGTTTTATTCATTCGTGCACCCTTCTAACATCTTCTTATTTATCTTTAGAGGCATACAATACAATTAAATAAATTCTTTTGTTATCTAAGTCTTATAAACATTTTCTCTGGTTGGTGGGAATAATCTTTTTGCCTAAATATTTGTATGTTGTAAAATAATTATTATATAATCGATATCAAAGGAAGTAATAAAAATTCACAAAGCAATTCGATCGGCTAAATTTGAGCTTTCTTATTTATTCCCATCTCATATCAGATAAGTAGGTAAGTTAAAATAAAAATCGCTAGTCTGGACTTCTTTATTTTTCTTGAATTCTAAATCTAATCGCAAATTTTCATGTATCGTGTAATGCAAAACCATATAATTGTTTATTGAGATTGTAAGGTTTTATTATACTTTAATACTGTTAATTTAAAAATTTCCTATCAAGTTTGTGCTCAAACACGTGCTTTATTAAAAATAACGGACTTTTTTTAAATCACGGTTTCTGAAAAATTGTAAACAAAAGATAAATTCGCACAAAAAAAATTCATTCAATTGATTAGTTATAGAAATAATGGAATATACGCCGTATTTTCGACTTATTCAGACATCATTAACTCATTGTAATGAGTTTGTAAGGAATTTCAATAAAATAAACTACTTTGGAGGTAGATAAATCATAAAAAACTCATATTAAAACTTTTTAATTAATTTTAGAAAATTATTTTAAGGAAATGAAATCTATATTAATGAAGTCACGCTTAAATTAAGGAACATATTCCTTGGAAATGGATTTACCAGTGACGACTGTGATGAACTGAGGAAAATCAATCTCCTCTTAATGTTTAATACTGATTTAACACACAAATATGAACTGAAAGAAGATTTTCAAGTTTGTCATCTACTCAACAACTTCCCGCAGCTCTCAAAGTGCTTGTATATCAACATCATGTGGCAATTAAACCTACAAAAGTACTTTTATGAAGCTCTAACATATTCTCCTTCATGGTTCATTCTTCCATTTCTGGATGAAACTGTTGATAGTTTAAGATTCTCAAAATCATTCGATGTTATCTATCAAGTTCAAGGCATAGTAAAGGCAATCTACACAAATATTTGTAGATTAGATTATCGATCAAGCAAATCAGGAGATTTTAATGATAAAAAATTAATACTGGAATCCCTTCTTGTTACTTTAACAAGTCTTTTAAGGCATTACAACACTCCAATAGCCGAGGAATCAATAACAAAATCAAAGAATAAAACTAAAGAATATAATGGACATTCGCTAAATTGCCAACTTTCATTAATTTTATCATGTTTCGAAATGTTCCTTAAAAAACCAGCTTTTGAGATTGAAGACAAGTTCTATATTTATAAAATCAATCAAGATAAAGAACCAGAAGCAAATAATTACAGCGTCAACAAATACTCATTAGGTGTAGAGGAGACTTTAACACAAATTAACATCATTTTATTAAATACTCTCCAGAATAGCGTATTAAATGTCACTTTAGATGATTTTATGTATTGGGTGGAGATTGACATGGATGATGACATAATTGCTGATCAAGAACTTAAACGTGATAACTTACAAAAGTTAATTGGAGAGCAGGCTTATGAATTAGTTGACATAATTAAAAATAATGAATGTTTTGATCATAACGTTGTTGAACAGCTATCAACAATTTCCTTAAAAAGTAAAACACTACAAGAAATAGCAAAAGAAGCATCTGTTGGAACTGTTCTCGATAAAATTGAAAAATCTCCATCAAAAATTGTTTGGCTTGAAGAGTTACTAAGTCGCACAGAAATTCTGTATTTCAATTATGAATGTCTTCAAACAGTCATCGACAATATTGAGATTCTCAGACTTGAGCATTTAATCCAGATATTAAAAGATCATCAGAATTATGACATGGATAAAGAAGATGAAGTTCAAATGAATGAAATATTTTTAAAAGGTGGAATTAAATTGAACTTGAACGATATTAAAGAGTTAATTGACCAGTTAGCGATAACATTAGGAACAGATTACTGCTTATCATATGATCCAGAATTAGTTCGTGAACAAGAGATCAATAATTACTTGAATAAAATCACAGAAGAGAATATTGAGGAACCTACAATGTTGAAAATAATCCTAAAAAGTCCGCAATTATTTTATGAAAAACTACTCGAAGACATTGACAGTCAAGATGAGACACAAATCTCAACAATACTTAAAGTTATATCCAAAACATGTCCAGTTTCGAATCATTATATTAAGAAAATTATCGTTAGTGATACGGAACCGATGGAAATTAACAATGAAAGGTCATCAAGACATTTGTTCCTATCTGGATTGTTTAAACTTCAAATTATAGACAGAAAGGAATTCATCAAGGACATTATAATGAGCAATTTCTCTCAAGCATTATCTGCTGGTGCAAATTCTACAAACTTGTTGCTGTTCCTTAAAACTCTCAAGCAGATATCAAATCAATTAAAAATTAAAGACTTACTGCCTCCTTTAATGATCCAGCTTGCACAAATTCTTGACAAATTTCGTTGGGATTTGATGACATATTCATTATTACGTGAAGAAATCGTTGACACGACAATTTCAATCATTCAGGAACTGATCAAAACGGTTTTAATCAATGGAACTAAAAATGATAAGGAATGGATTAGAAATAAAATCATTAATTTAAAGTCAATGACAAAATTTTACTTTCAAAGGTTGTCATTAGAAAAAGGAGAAGCTATAAATCCATTCGATACATTTTTACATCCAGAAAATTTATCAAACATTCCAAAGATCAAAATTACCTCATTTTTATGCGAAACTATTGTTAGATGTACATCTAAGGAATCAAGAAAGCTAATGAATAACGAAGTCTTGCAGAACTTTTATGCAGAGGCCCTAAGTTTGTTGTCCACAATTGTCAAGAAAGCTAATCAATCAAGCCCATTAGAATGCTTAAGAAAATGTGTTTCTGATTATGTTAAAATACTTTCGGTAAGATCCTTAAATTATCTGTTTTTGGCTCATTAAAATTATAAAATCTATATTTTATACAGGACATTCTGATTCCTTCCGCAAAAGCCAAAAACCAAGAAGAAATATTATTAAAGGACATAGTCAACCTAATGAAGAAATTCCCAACAAGTCTTCATGATGAGCTCACAATCCTATTTTTAGACACCATCAAGGAATTAAAGATTGATGAAAATTTATTAGCAGAAATTGATGATTGTGAATTGAAACGAATTTTATCAGACAAATCAAATGTGATTTAATTCCAATTAATTTAAGAGACATAAAAGAATGTACGCAAATGTTAGTGTCATTCAACTTGTTTAAATTTCCAGAGAGAATTGCAATTACTCATTTTCAACAATCAAAATAAAGACGAGCCTCCAAAAAAATTAAAAGCCGGCAAGCATTAATATATTCTCAAATAAATTTTCAGTTAAGTCAGTGCAGTCAACGCGATCGGATGCGAAAATATTACTTGCTGAATATTCTTATCAAGAAGTTGTGATTTTTTTTTAAAAAAAAAAACTTGTGTAGCTTATGAAAGATGAAGTTTAAAACCTTCATTCTTCTAATATGTAAGGATATTTTGATTAAGAAGAAAGCAAATCAATATAAATGCCTAAAAAGGTTTAATACCATACAGACAGTGTGTCTCTCTCTGATAACGAATATTTCGTACGGGAAGACCTTTTTTGCCTTATCAGCATCATTTAAAAATAAATTATCAAAAGACGTTTGGATGTAAAGTTCAGCACCACTTAGTTCCAAAAATTTATAACAGATCAAGAAGTTTAAATTTTTATCTTTTATAAGTTTGTCGATAAAATTATTTTTGAAAATTTGGCAAAAGAAAAACGTTTGATTTAGGAAAAGTGAATTAAATGATATAATTATTCCAAAAAATTATGGTTTGTTTTTTTTTTCAATTATAAAATCCAGGAGCATTACTAAAAATTTCCTCTGTTTTTCGACTAGATCCAACCACATAAAAAAAATCATGCTGATAATGTCGGAATGTATGACATAAGCGCCAGTTTAATCATTTTAAATTGTGTATTTTCCTCTTTAAAAATGTCTTTTTTTTTAATTACAACTTCTCTCGTGACAAATGATGACTAAACTGGCGCGATAATGTCTGCGCTGCTTTTATGTGATCTTTGACATCGGAACTTTGTTTAATTATTTTAAATTTTATTTATTACTGTTCTTTTGTTTCCACAGTTCTATTTGGAAATTGTCAATGTTACAGCATTTTTGAGGAAAATGTGGATTTTACATACAATATCCAAACAAGTGTTGAGTTAATTCCAGACGTGTCTGATAATTTTGAGACGGTTACCAAATGGGATTTTAATGGAACTCTTAAAATTCAAAGGCTTGATAGTAACACAGTCGCTTTGAAACTTAACATCGATCGAGATGACGAAGAATTAAAGCCATTGATGAAACCATTCATTCTTAAGTCACTCAATTTCTCAGAATCTTCAATATATTTAAAACAACATCCACAAAAAGCTATTGGACTTTCAGAATTTGAGCCAATATGGTCAGCAAATATAAAAAGAGCTATTGTGTCACTTTTTCAAATTGAAGGAAGCTCCGAGAACGGAGCATATGTTTCAAATGAATTCGGTCTTAGTGGTTTATGTCCAACAGAATATTATGTCGTTAATGCATCAGATTCACTTTCAATATCGAAGATTTATGATATGGATAGATGCCAAATTCACGGAGGAATTTTTGAGATTCGATCAAATATTCCAATTAATATCTGTGAAATGGGAAAGAATAAGGCAATGCATGCAGTCACGTCTCGATTGGGTGAATATAAATTAATGAAATTGAAAAACTCGAAATACTTATTAAAATCAATTCATGCTGAATCAAAAAGCAATGTCCAGGCATCAGAGTCTTATTATCCACAATTCATATTCAGTAAAATTTTTATTAATTTAATATCGCAGACTGAACTTGAGGATATAAATAGAATACGATTTAATGAAAGTCAACGAATGTTTCAAAGTGACTTTACGTATGTGCGTCCGATTTTGGAAGCAACAGGAGGACGTGCGGCAAAAACATCAGATCAAGTTATTGAAACTGTTATAAACATGCTTACTGATTTAGCACAGAACCTTGAAAATAAGGATTTAAATTTTGATGAACCATATATGGAAATTATATCAGAGATTCTTAGACTCTGCGAAACAATGAATTTTGATGCACTGAAGAAGTTATATGATCAAATTGATATTGGCACGAGCTACATACAAGAAACATCAAGGAACATATTTTTAGAAATACTGCCAAGAATTGGCACCTCTTCGTCTGTTTTAGTGACCAAATATTTGATCATGAAAAAACACGTTCGTCCAACAACGGCTGTGCAACTTCTTACTGCCTTGCCATTTTTCATCTCAGAACTTTCATATGATTTAGTAAAGGAATGCGAGGAATTTTTACACATTGGATTAGATCGACCAGATGTTAAACACTCGGCTGTTCTTAGTTATTCAACGATGATTTATAAAGCATATGTTGCTGGTGCTCTTATTAAGGAACAATTTGAAAAATATGTCAGAATGGTTTTTGATCTGTTTTTAAGTGAGTTCAAATGTTTCAAAACCTTACAATTGTTTTAAAAACTAAATCCCTGACTAAATCCATACAATTTCGAAATCCAAACTTCTAAAATCTGTTAAATTTTTATTTCTCAGACAGTTTCGACTATGAACAACAGATGCTTTATCTAGAAGCTATGGGAAACTTACAATTAGGAAACGTCCCAAACTACCTTCAACCAATCATCCAAGCTGATTACTCTCAAACAACAGACATAAGATTTTTAGCCATTTTCGCTACACTTCCTACAGCTTATTCACGACCAACAGAGGTTTTTGAGACTTATTGGCCAATTTTCTATTCAAAGACGACCCCATTACAGCTTAGAATTGCAGCTTTTCAGATGCTTTTAGTGTCCGCTCAGACACCTGGAAGAGTATTGGGATTGTACAATGTGATAAAGAATGAAAACTGTCCGCACATGATCAACTTCTATCGTACAACAATTTTAAGTATTTCTGAATCAACAAATTCTTGTTTAGCTCATCTGTAAGGACAAGTGACTTATTATTAAAAATTAAATTGTAATTAAATTTAATTCCAGGAAGCGATTGGTGTTGTACATGCGTCCACATCTACCACCTGCACCTCCCAAGAAATATTGGATCACTGGAAATTACATCTTCGACTATAAAGACCGAAAATTTCAAATTGGATCTATGGTACAAGTCATGCTTATTGGGGATAAGCGAAGAGATTTACCGTTAATTGCATTCCTTAAATTCGATACTGAAGCTATGGGAAGATTTACTGGACAACTTGGAGTATACATTAAGGCTAGAGGATTATCTGATGCCATACTTGATAGAATTTACAATATGAATCTTGACAACTTAAAATTTGAGGAACTATCCAACATCCTAAAATTTATGAAAATGCAGCCTATACAGTCAACACCACTGCATTTAGAATTTATAGTTCAACTCGAAGGAAAAACAATTTTATCTTATTACTTGAATCAAACGACGTTCTATAACTTAACAGATGGTGATCGTAAGTTAATAGTTTTTAATTGTTTTGAAAAAGCTTTAAATTTTTTACATTGTATAGTTATAAACAGGATTAATCTAGTGTTACGTACAGACAGTCACATCAATGTAAGTATCTAAAATCATCAGATTGAGTTTTAAATTAAATCATATATTAATCTAGATGCAACTGATTAGACGACCATTCATAATAAAGCATGGATTCTCAACCTTAATCGGAACACCTGCCTACATTTTACTAGAAAACACAATGATTGCAAGCATTCGTGGATCAACAACTCAAAGTATTGATAAAGAGAAGTTGACTAGAAATAATCAAATGGACTTAAGGTAATTAACGATCGGAATATGGTTTTCAAAAAATTTGAACCTGTTTAATGATTGTTCTATCTTACAATAATTATAATCTGTAAACTTTAAGCATGCCAAAAATATATTATTAACATTACCAAGTCATAAATCAATAATTTTTCTCCTGCTAAAATTAGATACTCAACGTATGCAGTCTCAAAAATACTTAGCTACAATCCTTTGGACGATATCGAGTTCTCAACGATTAGAGAACAAGGTTTTCTTGTTTATTTGCCAATAAATAACGAAATCAAACTAAACTTATTGGAAAAACATGTCACGTGAGTTGTGAATGTCATAAAATAGTCATAACTTTTACTTTGCGATATTTTTTTTAGATTTTCTTTATATCGCAAGGAACCAATAACTTCAGGCTTATCGTTGAAATCAAGGACACGAAGCTTTTCTGGAATTAATAAAATAGCTAAGCAGAATCATGAAATACCAGTATATAAATTTAATCTAGATGATATAGGAATCAATGTCATTATTGGACATAACGTGGAGTCATCAAAGGAAAATTTAATGTTCCTGTTTGAATCTGATGTAGCTACATCCGCAAAAGTATTCACTAGAACTCCATACTCAATTATTCAGAATATTCTTACAGTTATATCAATGATTCAACTTACAAGTATCCATATATCAAGAGATAAGCACCTGACTATCTTACTAGCTAATGAGCCAAATTCTAAAGTTGAATTAGGATTTAAGTATAAAACTGAGGATGTAAAGACACCAAAAGAGAAAAGTGTGGTCACAATAGATTGTAGTTTATTGCATATTCATGACTATGACAGTGTTCATTCGAAGCAGCTACACAAATGGGAATTTTCAACAAAATATACAACATTCAAAAATAGTAAGGCAAGCAAAGCAATTGTGTCACTTAATCGCAAGACAATCAATGGTGAAAAATGGAAGGTAAGTGAAAAAATTTACAAATACAAGCACTTTTCAGCTGTGATTATTTCCTTGATTCCTTTCTGGAAATCGCGAGCTGTTTCAATTTCAGTGAGCCCAACACGCTTTGTACTCATTAATTCATAATATCCACTACCCAAATTTTTAGCTTTAATATGAGTTGCTTCCAATAAAGTCTCAAACTTGTTGGAATTTTCTTCGAGAGATAATTTAGGGATTTTAACTTTAACAATGATTCTCATTGTATTTCCGATATTTTTGAGATTATGTGCCAAATATCCCCAGCGTTCATGCTTAGCAAATTCCAACTCACCTACAAGCTCAATGATTTTGTTCAGACGTTCATAGACTTTTTGGAGATTAGCACCTTCGTCAACTGATATGAATTGTACATGCTCTTCCACATTTATCCATGCACGGACATTATTTTTCTCATTCTTAAAAATTCCTCTTCCTTTCGGCCAACAGCGAAATGTTTCAGCTGCCTTTAAGAATTTATCTTCAGGTTCTGGAAATAAAGTTCCGTCTTCAATCCATTTCTTCTGTTCATCATCTTCGATTGAACTCAATGTATGATATGTTCCTTTATATTCTTCATCGTCGATTTTTATTAATGCTTTGCGAATCTTTTCCTCAATTTTCTCAAATTTTTCGACAGTCAACAGTGGCATATACTCAAACTCTTTTAATGCACGACCAATAACAATCCGAATAGATTTTATAAAATTTGACTCTGGATCTAAATCCTCTAATTCATGAGAATCTCCCCATTTACTTTCTGGATGTTTTGTGTCTCCTTCAATCTCATGAAAGTCTTCCAAAACACCAGCAAATAGTCCATCAAAAACATCATAAGCATTCTTGTCTGATGCAAAAATTCCAATATCGGAATCAAAATTATTAAGGCCACTTTGAATATTGTCAAGTAATGTGCCATTAACATCCGTTTTTAAGGCTTTGAGTTTTTCAAAATTATCATCTGTCAGATATTCTTTGAGCAAGGAATTTCCAGTCTCGTGGGCTTTTAATTCTTGATATTTTGTGTTAATAATCAAATCTATTTCGCTAGCAGTCTTTTTGACTTGACTCTTTGTGATAGCTATATCAGCTGCAGCCTGTTTTTTCTCCTTGACTAGCTCATCAATTTTGGTCTGCATTTCGACGACTTTCTCAACATCCGGACAATCTTCACACAATTGCTTTCGAATATAAGCAATTGGATCTTCAGGCTTGGTTTCATGTTGATAAAGTTTCATGAGTGCATTTGTAAGCTTCTCAGTTACGCCTGTCGATTCTAGATATTTCCGAAATTCTTGTCGCTTCTCTTCAAGCTGTTTATGAATGAAAAATTCGTTTGAAAATGTGATCTTTAACATTTTAAAAATTGCATAACTTACACTTGGTGACTTTACAGTATGTCCTTCCATTTCAATTGCTTCCTTTTAAATTACTTGTTTAAACAAAAATTTGCACTGATTTAAAAAGCTGAATTCTTGTCATTAAATTTTACTTTGTCATGGCAACTGCGATTAGTTTCGAAAAAAACTGTTCAACACGAAAATTTCCATATCATCGATAGTCTCTTTTTGGGGTTGTTGTAAGCATATTTGTTATTGATTTTCCCCTATTTCCACTTCGGTTGACTGTAGAATTATTTTTTCTTTCCTCTCTTTCCTCCTGTTCATTTATCAATGTCGTGCATGAATCTTTATGATGGATGAAATTGAAACCTTAAAAGGTTTCTTCCTGGCATTTTTTTTAAAGAATTCAACTGTGAATAAACAAAGCATTAATTTCCAATTCTAGCTATGCATTACAAGTACGATTGACGGTCTTGTACACTTCAAAAAGCCCTTCAAATTCACCAGCAACATTACTTTTGGTAATCATGATGATGTACTTCAATATTGTCCTAATGATAAGTCTAAAATCGATTTGACTCTGCTTATTGGATCTCCACAAAAAGCTAATGAGACATATGAAGGAATTACTGTACAAGATCCTAAACGATGTACCAAAGAAATAGTCAAGTTTTCGCCAGTTCCACAATTTAAGGATTGCAAAACCAGTGATTTAGAAAAAGTGCTATCTATCAATGATGTGAAATTGGATGCATATTTTGAGAAGGTAAGCAAATATAATGTTTCTTTTTTTTTAAAAATTGATTCTAGAACAGTACAAAAGTTATAAATTAAACCATTTTAAATTTTAATTTTATCAAATGTTTCAAATCCTTACAAATGTTTTTTAGATGCCTGATGCATTTTATGATATCTCGTCGAGAGCAGATCACATATTCTCAGCAATTATGCCACAAAGAGTTTCAGCTTTAAATATTTCAAATTACATCAATCTGGAAGTCAAACTTTTATTAAATGACAATCAAGAGACGTTACTTACAATCAATGAAAATACAGTTTCATTGCCTATAACTGCTGGATGCGATTTTAAGGAAAGTAGTTGGGAAGGGTCGTTTGTGGATTATAGTCTTACTAGTGTTTGCAGTTTATATAAAGATAATTTAAACACATTGGATGGAAATGATATGATTTTAACAGATAATATCCGAAATGGAAACTCGTACAAAAATGATATGCTGCTATTTGCCGAATGTGCTGAGATTTCACGACTTGCTATGTTAGTCGAGTACAGTAATGACACAAATGATTTCCTGCAAGTTAAAATTAATGCAGGAAGTCGATTTATTTTCATAAAAGCAGACAGAAAGCCTGTTATATTTTATGACAATAAGGAATATGACTTGACCAAAACTACTTTCGAGTATCCGACATTCGACAGTTTTATTAGGTAAGTGATCTTATGCTGCTTAATCAAAATATTTTAAAGTTAATATTCCATTTTTAGAATCTCACTCAACGACGACTCATTAATCGAAATCGAGAATGAACTCTTAAAAGCCAAAATACAGTACAACATGGAGAATCTCATTTCCATTTCAATTCCAACAATAATGAAAGGAAAAATCTGTGGACTTTGCAATGTTCATAAGAATAATTGTTAGGACTTTATATGCAACTATTTACCATAAAATGCTCATAAATAATAATTTAATAAATATTTTTACTGCCACACTTTGCTTAATATCTGAAACACAGTATATACCAGTAAATAACTATTTTTTCATTGATAAGTTTCATAGATGTATATAAATATCTTTTATATCTTTAATGGAATCAAATTGAAGTACTTTTAGTGCTATACAAACTTTGACATTTCAACTAATTTGGCATATCTTTTGTCTTCAAGACTTGTTAGGAATTTTTCTAATCTAGAACTTTTTGATAAAGCTGTTCGAGTTTTGCTAAAGTGCTGTTTCAAGGATTTTTTATGCACATGACATCTTTGATAATAGAAAACAGCTGCGAGCAAATTCCAGAGTGTAAAATCTGGCCATAAAGCTTCTGTGAAGTAAAATACCGTTGATGGGATCTAAAAAAACGATTAAAAAACAGCACAGCATATAAAAAGAATTAATTACCTGCCAAAGAAGAAAATCACTGAAACGATTTTCCCCTGAAGTTCTGACGAGTAAATCGACATCGGAACATTCACTAGTGTATAGACATTTATCAATAAGCGTGTCTGTTAAATCTTCTGGAAGCAGTTCATTGTCCTCGTATCCTTGCATTATAGTCTTTATAGAATTTGTAATTTCGTCCCTTGATGTGTAGGCAAACGCTACATTTAGAATTGATCTATTGTTATCCTTAGTCAATAACATTGCTTCAGCTAAAGTTTTTTGGACGTCCTTTGGAAGCATATCTAAATTGCCGATTACTCTAATTTTAATGCCTTTTTCTCTAAGCTTTTCTTTTTCTTCCAATAATTTAGCAAATTTCTCACGAGCCAAGCTCATCAAAGTATCAACTTCCTCTTGAGATCTTTTGAAATTTTCTATGCTAAATGCATAAACAGTAACTTCTTGAATTCCGACCTCTAAGCACCTAAATAGTATTAATAAGAGATAATTATGAATATTGATGATGTCACATGAATCGAAATGATAAGAAAATTTTACCATTGTAAGGCTTCTGACAGCTTCTCAAATCCAACTTTGTGTCCTTCCGATCTCTTTATATTAAGCTTCGATGCCCAACGTCTATTTCCGTCCATAATAAAAGCTACATGTCTTGGAATTGGTCCTTGCTTTATAACTTTGATTGCCAAATTTTCAATCCAGCTTAATTTCAGCTCTTCCTCACGAATCCAGCTCATTTTCTTTTATTGCACTAAATCAATATGTCTATTATACACTAATTATTATTTTTTAATCATTTAATAACTCGCTGGATAAGTGATATTTGATATATTATAGTTTAACTTTGGATGTAAGAATTTTTTGGTCGAACCAAAATATTCGGATCCAGAAAAATTACTGAATTTGGCAGTTATTTTTTTCAAAATTTGCTTACACGATTTTCCCTAATGCACCTTAATTAAGCTAAGTTATCGACTACACAACAGTTTTCAAAAGAATTAAAAAACTCATGAATAATATTACAATAATATTAAAGATTCAATCAGTAATAAGTGAATTAACGATCAATATTTATTAATACAGGCTTTAGAAGTAATAAACTCAACGATTTAGCACTAATTCAACTGATATACAGCCTTTAAACCACTATACAACGATTGATCATAAACTTTTGACACTTTTGACTTCTTTTTTTTTCCTTCTCAGCTCTTTTTCAGTTAAAATTCATTTTAATTATGTTAAGCTAGTATTTATGAATAAAATTTTAGTATTTTAAATGCTAACCTATTAAGTTAATTAATATGATTAATATTATATTCACACCGTTTTCACGTGTGAATCTATTGGTTTTGTTCAGATTGAAAAATCAGTTTTTCGCATTTTGTGAGAAAACAAAGCAAAAATGGTTATAAAAGGTCACAGAAGAAAAAATTGTGCCTGAAATTTTACATCATTTTCAAAAAACAGATTTCGAATTGGTAGTGGCATTGCTGAGAAAATCGCAAAATACGCTTTCTGTAAGAAAACAAGCAAGCAAGCAAGGTAATCAGCAAGAAATCTCAATAACGAGACATCGTAGAGACTTCTAGTTTTTTACATTTGATCCGTGCTGCTCTATAGAAGAGCTGTATTGTTTTTGGGCAAGGTAGGAACAGCCGTTGCTTCAGAAAAAGCAAAAAACTTTCCTTTCTTACGAATTTTTCAAATTAAAAGTTCACTGTGATTTATTTTTTATTTTAAATTAAATTTTGGATGAAAAAATTTTTTTGAGCAAAGAACCAAGAAGGAAATACATTTTCAATTTTGGACTAGGGGCGACCCATTTGTATAAACCCTCGAAGAAAAAAAGTGACAAAATTGATTTTGACTAGGGTCGCCCCTAGTCCAAAATTGAAAATGTATTTCCTACTTGGTTCTTTGCTCAAAAAAATTTTAGGATGTTTTATTTGTATTTGTTTTAAGCATTGGAATATTTATGCAAAGTTTCAATCCATTTGTATAAACCCTCGAAGAAAAAAAGTGACAAAATTGATTTTGACTAGGGTCGCCCCTAGTGACATAATTCTGACATAAATCACATACCAATATTACTTTTTGTAATGCATAGCTTAAAAAAACGAAATCTAAAATTTCGACTACCCCATCTGAATTTTGTTCATACTCTTCACTGTGGAAACCAAAAAACAAATTCTTTATCTTAAAACTTTTGACAAAACAGCGACATAATTCAGGATTAATTACTTTTTAATAATATTTTTACATTTACGAGAAAATGTGGTTCAAATAAGTGTGAAGTATGGCCGAGATTTCGACCAAAATCAGCTATACTGGTTCATAGTGTTCCCGAGGGTGACAAAATTCAAACTAAGTGTTTTTGTAGCTGACATAATTATGACATAAATTAGGTATGGGGCCATTCACTTTTTTTCATACAAATTTTGTTACGAGGGGGGGGGGGGGGTCAAAGAAGTCATTTTTTCGCGTTACGTAATAAGTGAACAGCCCCTATAACTTTTGAACTCTGTCGATATGGGTCTCGGCCGTACTTCACGCCCACCCTTCAAACTTATGCTGAGCAAATCTTGGTCTATCCATAAGACTTTTGATGGTACGGTGTGAATATATCCGCATTGGGTTTCTACCCGATACACTAGTTTTTATATTTCAATAATGAAACCACTAAAAACGAGGTTTAACTTAGGTTTGAATCAGTGTTGCAAATGTAGATGTCTACACTAGATGAAGAATGTAGATTCTTCAATAATTTTTGTCTAGCTAAGAAACTTTCTTCATAAAGATCGAATCTACATGAAGATAGAAAATCTAATCTACACAAAGATTATTTGTACATAAAGATTCTGTCTACATAAAGATTCGATGTAGATGTCTACAATTCTACATTTTTTTTCCAGGTCTACATCAGAGAAGAATGTAGAATTATAGACATCTACATCGAATCTTTATGCAGAAATAATCTTTGTGTAGATTAGATTTTCTATCTTCATATAGAATCGATCTTTATGAAGAAAAATCTGTCTCAGAATTTATCTGATCCAGACAAATAGGCAGAATGCAACACTGGTTTGAACTTAGCTCAAAAATTTGAACTTTAAATGCTTAAATTTTTTCTCACCGTTATTGCTATAATTTGCTTTATTTCATTGCTTTTTAAGCTATTTTCAAAGAGGTTCATACTGGTTCAGCTCGCGCTATTTTGATAACTCAGCGATACTCATATTCCTAATATCTAAGACATTGTCAAGCAGTGCCCTAAAAAGCCAAACATAATATTAGGTACAAAAAAAGCAGGGGGCTTAATTTTCAATAGTTGAAATTTCATCAAAATAAGCTGAAAAAAGAGATTAATTTTTGTGAACATCATTAAATGTAAAAACATTTATAAGATGTATTGGTTTTGCATAATATTCCTGTCTTAATTTGAACTCATTCGAATCCAATACTTGAATTATCATAACAGTCGAGTTATTAAAGTGTAAGACCCCCTTGTAAGAAAAAAAGCAAAATTGCAAGAAGTGACTAATATTAAGCATAAAACCGAAGAAATTTAATAAATGTAAGTGTTAAAAATAACCAGCGATGGAGTTAAAGACGGTAGAAAGACATAAAACAATAGTAGAACAAGGTGAGTGCATGATTTCAATCATAATTTTGACTTTTTCAAGTTGCGATAGTGTTGCATAGAAAAAAAGTTTAATGGAGAATATATTGACTCGATTTCAGAATTATATTTTCTGGTAGCAAAATTTCTATTAGAATCACCGTACAGAAAAGCAGGAGAGGTGAGCATGAATAGAGGATGATCTAAGGAATATAATTAATTAATTTCCAATTTTCTATCATTTTTCGTTTAGGCGTTAATTGAAGAATTGGAAAACTCAGGAGTAAGTAAAACAGAATAATAACAAAAAATTAATCAAAATAAATGTTTAGGATCACACCAGATGTTTTTTTCACGTGCTTTTAAGTTGTCAAAACATTAAAATTGTTGTTGAAAGCAACAAGAGTTCTTTGACCTTAATTACCTACTTCTGTCCAAACTTTTTGTGTAATTTGACTTCAGTATGTAACTAATATACCTTATTTCTCCTTTTTAGGACCTGCCTGATCGCATTGATTGGGAAGGACAGACACATAAGCAAGGATTTCGTGAATTGGTAAGATCCAGTGATTTTTTTGTGTGCAAGAAATTCATTGCATTTCTTCTTTCAACCAACTGTTGCATGACTTAAAACATCCAACAGACTAATGCTAGTTCCAGAGATCCTATCTGAAAAAGGACTAGTGTCCTTAAAGTCCTATAAAATTATTGTTTCACAATTTTTCAACGGATTCGGTTACAAGTAATAGTATTAAGTGTAGTTAATGCAGTTTTGAAGGAACTGACCGATCCGTTTAGGCTGAAAAAGCCGACGGCAAATTTTCCAGACATCTAAAATGTCTAAAGATGGAGGTAGTGAAATGTTGCAAATTATAGCTTTTCCTTTAATATTATCCATCTTTGATTACGTGACTGTTTTCATGTACCCGAAATTGACAAGATTCTGAGACCAAATTTTTCATATAATGTCTGAATATCGCGAAATATGACAATTTTCTTTGTTACTTCCAATGATTCATCATCGCCATATTTGAATGTGTGTAGCATGAAATTTTCACTATTTTTTATTCACAACAAATCATTCACTAAAGGGCTTCCCCGATATTTGTAAGCTAGACATTTGCCAGACGAAATGCATTGAGTTTTTTGTGTATTTTAAAGCATTCTATTGACATTTGCGACGGCAAAGAGTGTGCAACGTTATATGACATAAAACTTTTTGTTCTTGTGAAGAAGTAATTTTTTTTTGTGAGCATATGAGACATTGCAATAGAAACATTGGAAATGAATTGCAGATGATGCGATTAAACAAGCGTGTACAATTACGATAATAGTAAACAAAATAGTAAACGATATGATAAGTGAATGAAGTGCGTGAATTAAAGTTGTAGTCTTGAAAATTCTTATGGCCTTGCTATATCCGCCATTTTAATTTTTTTCATAGTACGGACGGACATACTTGATGAAAATGTAATTATTTTTCTTAAAACTAATTTTTGCAATAGTTAATTTTTTAAGGATCAGGATATTAATTGCAATTAATTTAGCTTAATTAATGTCTTTTTGTGCGAAATAGTATCAATTTTTTTTTAAAAATAAAATATTCATATCCGTTGGTGCATTTCATTAGCATAATTAATTTTGTGGAAATTTGGAAAAATTAGTGAAATTAATTAAATTAAGGTTTTGAGATTAAAATTTTCGCCATTAAATTTCTACTTCTTCAATGTCTCAAAAGTTGCTCGTCCCACATGATGTGTAGTTTTTCGTTCCAACTCGAGTGAAAAAAATCGTTCTGATGTGTAAGAAATTTATTTATAGGCGGCAAAATATCGTCATATTGGACCGAATCATTTGCTACAAATATGTTCGCGATTACCAGCACTTTTGGAAAAACAGCCTGGATTGTCACCGACTGTTCCTTTATTGGTGACACTTTTAGGAGCAGGACGACAGAGCTTGCTAAGAACACCGCAAAGTATTACAAAGCCACGATCGTTGACAGAATATTGTACAAGAATTCATGGAGCACCGCTTATGGATGCAATCAATAGAAATAAAAACAACAATATTGTCAATGTGCTGCTTGGAAGACAAAGTGGTGGTCCATTGATTCGGAAGCAAGCAATTACTTCTAGCTTTTATACTAAAACAACTATTTTAAGACAGACTTTAGGTCATTTATCTGCAGTTTATTGTGTTCTATTCGATCGAAGTGGACAATATATCGTCACGGTATGTGCTCAACACGTATTATTCACCTTAGTTTGTTAATTTACTAAACTCTTTTTATTCCTTAGGGAGCTGACGATTTACTTGTTAAGTTATGGAGTGCCATTGATGGTCGATTGCTGACGACATTTCGTGGAGCATCAGCGGAAATTACAGATATAGCTATAAATCTGGAAAATACAATGATTGCTGCCGGATCAATTGACAGAGTTTTGCGTGTCTGGGATTTACAAAATGCCAGTGTAATTGCAGTTCTTTGTGCACATAGTGGAATGATTACATCAGTTAATTTTTGTCCGAACCCAAGAAGTGATTTTAAGTTTTTAGTAACAACGAGTACGGATGGATCTGTAGCTTTTTGGCAATATACTCAACCGCGCAATCAGAAGCCAATTTTTCAAATAAAACCGACACAATATCATGAGAAATTGAGACCTGGACAAGCACAAATGATTTGTGCTTCATTTTCACCCGGTGGAATGTTTTTAGCCGCAGGTTCTGCAGATCATCATGTTCGTGTCTATATTATGGCGGAAGATGGACCGAAGAGAATATTAGAAATAGAATCACATACAGATACAGTTGATTCCATTCAATGGGCACACACTGGATTAAAATTTGTCAGTGGATCAAAAGATGGAACAGCACTTTTATGGCGTTTTGAAACTCAGCAGTGGAAATATGAAAAGCTTAATATGAGTGATAGATTAGCGACATGTCCTGTACCAGAACAAGGCACAGCTGATGCAAAGAAAGGATTAAAAGTAACAATGGTATCGTGGGATCGTTCCGATGATTGGGTAGTTACTGCTGTCAATGATCACAGCATTAAAGTTTGGAATACTAAGACTGCCAAATTACATAATGTCCTTCGAGGACATACCGACGAATTGTATGTATTAGAATCTCATCCAAAAGATCCGCATGTTTTACTCAGTGCAGGACATGATGGACAGCTATTTTTGTGGGATATTTATAAAGGTGAAAAATTGGCAAGTTTCATGAATAGAATTGAAGGTCAAGGTCATGGAGGCATTTTTGATGCTAAATGGTCGCCCGATGGAACTATGATTGCAGCTACCGATTCTCATGGACATATGTTAATGTTTGGATTTGGAACTGGCCATAAACGATTGAGAGAAATGCCAAAAGAATTATTTTTCCATACTGACTATCGCCCTCTCGTTAGAGATGTAAATTATTATGTCCTTGATGAACAGACACAACTTGCACCATATTTAATGCCTCCGCCATTTCTCGTTGATGTTGATGGAAATCCTTATCCACCATCAATGCAACGTTTAGTTCCAGGACGAGAAAATTGTTCAAATGAACAGCTGGTTCCAGATATTAGTGTTGGTGAACAAGCAGAACAACAACAACAACAACAGCAGCAGCAACAAGAAGCTGGTGCTCGATCGGAAATAGATCGTCTCATTGAGGCTTTAGCAAACCGTCAGAATATTAACGATCAAATGCCAAATGCACTTGATAATATTTTTGAAAATGATGAAGATGATTTACCACAATTAAATCGTGTTCAAGCTGTAAGGCCACAAATTGGAATTCGTGATCAAAATATGATTTATCCAGACAGATTGAGAACATATGTGAAATCATTAAAACATACAAATCTCTCATTTATGAAGAATGTTGTATATTATGCTGGCATTTCTGAAATGGACTTATATCGTCGTGAAATGAAGAAACGACCTTTAATGATAATTACTGGAAATCCAAACAGTAGTGCATTAAATGGTCCACCGCCCAAAAAATTCGGTCGTGGAGGGCGAAAGAGACGACAGCCTGGAGATGGAAATGATCAAATGGCATCAACTAGTGGACTAAATACAACAAATATGAATAATAGAACATCAGCTGTACAATCAGGGAGAAGATTATTAGATGATGACGAAGAAAGACTATCAACAAGTAGTGAATCGTCAAATAGTGATGATTCAACGGCAGTTGAAGAAGATTTAGACTTGTCAAGCTCGTCTAGTACGACAGATGATAGTTCAGAATATTCAGATTGGATTGATGTTGAAGATCAACAAAAATTGGAACCACCAAAACGTTCAAAGCGAAAACCAGTCGAAAGACGAACTTATTCACCAGCTGATTCTGATACACAGACGAGTAAAAAGCGTGGTCCTAAAGGAATTAAGAAAATTCCATTATTGCCAAATGGTGAAATTCCAGAGGAATATAAACCACCTGAATGGCTTTCTGAGGTCATTCCTAAAAAGGCACCCTATTATCCACAAATGGGAGATGAAGTTGTTTACTTCCGCCAGGGTCACGAAAGATATTTTGAGCATGTAAAGAATAAGAAGTTATATCAATTGTCTGGAAAATATGAGCCATGGCAACAACTAGAACTACGTGAACATGAATTTTGTAAAGTTATTGGAATCAAATATGAAATTCGTCCACCAAGGCTGTGCTGCTTAAAACTTGCTCTCATGACAGACAAAGGAAATATGACAAATAAGCATTTTACTATTAAATACCACGACATTGCAGACGTTCTTGATTTCATCGTTCTTAAGCAAACATTTGATACGGCAATAAGTCGTAATTGGGGACCAGGTGATAGGTTCCGTTGTATGATTGATGATAAATGGTGGATTGGTGAAATTGAAAGTCATCAAGCACTTCATGAAGAATTTCCAGACTCGCTATTTATGTGTTTTAAAGTTCGGTGGGATAATTCAGAATATGAATTTATGAGTCCATGGGATATGGAACCGATTGATGATGATCGACTTCCTGAAAACATTGGTGGATCTGTTGCTGTGCTACCTGAAGAAATTCAAGCAATCCTTTATCGTCCAAAAAGTGAGGAATGGCCAAGAGGAGATCGTGAAGGATCTTGTCGTCGTATTGTTAATGGTTTTGAGGCAGTTATGGGTTTGGCGATCGCTGATCCATTCCTAACACCTGTTGATTTAAATTCATATCCAACTTATGCTTATGTTGTTGAATATCCAATTGATTTGAGCACAGTTAAGTCACGATTTGAAAATCATTTCTATCGACGCATTACATCAGCACAATTTGATGTCAGATACTTGGCAACTAATGCTGAAAAGTTCAATGAAAAGCACAGCAATATTGTAAAACATGCACGAATTATCACTGATCTCTGTTTGCGAATATTGAGGGAACATAATGATGTAGATGTTCCTGCAGCTTACCACCAATTACTTGATACTTATCAGTCATCAGAAAGCGAAGAAGATAATCAGGAACAAAGGCCATCAACAAGTCAGGGATCTTCGTCCAGAAGAAATGGAACTAGAAGGTTTGTTTTTGTTAATGTTAACTTTTTGGATGTGTTTATGAATTTTTTGTTTATTTTTTTTCTTTCAGATCCAAGCGATTGGTTCCAACGTCCGGCGACTGGAGAGTAAGATGTAGAGAAATCCTACAGTTGATTTGGAGTCACCAAGATTCGGAGCCATTTAGAGAACCTGTTGATATCGTGGACCATCCTGGTATGTAAATTTTTAGCTTGATTTAATAGAAATTTTGGCAATTAGTTTCTAATCGATAAAGCTCCACTCAGATTCATTAACAAGCTGGACCAAGACTCAAACGCTCTATTTTATTTTTGAAAAATACTATTCAGTTTAGCTTTTTTGAATTTTTGAAAGCCGTTAAAATTAAAATTTAAAAAAACCGTTAAATTTACGCAATTTTCGTTACTTTATTTCAGACTACCTTCAAATCATCGACACACCAATGGATCTCCAGACAGTAAAAGAGGAACTATTTAGTGGGAATTATGATTCACCAATGGAATTTGCAAAAGACATGAAACTTATATTCCAAAATTCTAGAAGCTATAATACAAATCAGAGATCAAGGGTGAGTGTAAGCTAGATATCTTTATTACATTTTTTTATGCTTATTTCATATCATTTCCATTCGTTCGTTCGTTCGTTTTTTCATGAATTTGTCCTTTGCATGAATATAAATTTCTTTTCTTAATTTTTATTTCGCATAGCTCCTTAATGTTGTTAATTTTATAAAAACCTAATGATAATAAATTTAAATTGACATGAAATTTTCTTTGGCATTTACCTTGTTTCGAGTTATTTTTGACTAGAAAACATGTTAATCATTCGAAATTGTATTTATATTCATGCCTTTTTCTTCCTTTGTCAATTCATTTGCGTAATCAGGAGAATGTCACGGTAAGATCTAAACAAAAGACTCTTCTTTCTCGTTTATCTCATGATCCATGCTTGAAAATTTTGAATCATCAAGATTTATTGATAATAATGAGACAAAAAAAAAATGTCAATTTTTATTTGCAGATTTATGCCATGACTTTAAGGATGTCTGAGCTGTTTGAGGAAAATATTCGGCCATTAATATCACATTACAAGTCAAATAAGCGCGGTAATCGCAAAGAAAAGACACCAAAGAAACAAAATAGACGTACAACAAGAAATAATGGAAATGTACCATCAACATCTAGAACAAATCATTCAACAGATGATGATGATGATGATGATGATGATGACGACGATGACGATGATAAAATGAATGGTAAAAATGGTAGAACTAATGGACGTACAAGAAGAGTTCAGCCACAATCAAATGGTGTATCCAGCAGTCGAGATTATCAATCAGGTCGTTCAAGGAATGCTGGTAAGAGTGCAAGAGTACAATCAAGTGAAGAAAGTGAATCAACGGAATCATCTAGTGACGATTCAAGTGATGGAAGTGAAGAATCTAGTGGAATTCCATTAGCTGAACTTGGAAAGCCATATACAAGAAGTACGAGGAAAAAGAATAAAAAACAAAGAAAACAACGAGCGGGTGCTGTATCAAGTTCAAGCCAGAAAAAAGTTAGGAGAGCAGCAAAACGCCAAAAAATTGAATCCGACGATCATAACGCAGAAACTGATGGAGACGAAAAGCCATTGCAGAATAATATTAATAACAATAGTAATATTAATAATAATAGCAATAATGGAAGTGATCATACAAATGATGAACAGACTCGAAAACGTAGTGGACGGGAAAGGCGTATTCAAACTACCTCAGATGATGAGCATAAGCAGCATACAGGAGATGATATGCGTAGGAAAAGAATCACAAGACGACCAAAACGTTATGAAAGTGATACAAGCTTTCATGTTGAACGATCAGGAAGGCGAAAAACGACAGAAACGGAAGATTCTGATAATCCAAGAGCAACTCGTGAGTCAACACGTAAAAAGTTTCAAGAATGGGCAGTTACAAGTGACGATAATGATGATGAAGATTTTGAGGATAAGCCACAAACAAGTACACAGAGAGGTCGATCAAGTACAAGACAATCAGGTCGTAAAAAAGCTAAACGGAAAGTTTTATCAGACTCTGAACATAGTGACGATAAATCGAGAACATTGCCATCAAGACGTTCGACTAGAGTTCAAGTATCACAATCTCAAGATGATAATAGTAATGATTCTGAGCTACAGAATCGTCCGAGTACGAGTACAAATGTTAGACATAGCAGTCGATTAATGAATGGAAGCTCTAATGCATCACAAATGTCTTTAAGAACAACAAGGAGTTCTTATGGTCAAGGAAATTCATCATCATCGTCACTTAGAAATGATCATAACTATGGAGAACCTTCACATTCGGCTTTAACTAATGCAGCACCGCAAACAGCACGACAAACTCGTAGTACAATATTATCACGTCATCAACGAAATGCTGATGAATTAGATCGTAGTGGACTTGAGGATAGCACATTGACATCTACATCAACTACAAATAGACTTTTACGCTTAAGAAGTGTTAATTTACGCGCAGCACCTACACCAGCTTCCAATTTTGAGGCTTTAAATGGAATTAGACGTACAACAAGAACTCGTCAAACTCACAACTATTTTGAAGACGAAAATGACCTAGAAGAAGAAAGACCCGTTGTTCAGCAAATCCAAAGTCGAATTTCTACAAATCGAACAAGTCGAATCATTCCTGATCGTGCAAGACAACCGACTGTTGACGATAGTGACAGCTATTCAGAAGAAGATAAGACACCATTAAAATTAATGGCAACTAGCTCTAGCAAAAAGACACACAATCATAATACAAGAAAAGGCTCGACAAGTGCAGTCAATCGTATCAAACGAAATCTTTATTCGGACGATAATAACTCTGATCAGGTAAGAATGCTTTCTATAACTTAATTAAGTCTGAATAATGATAACAATTTTTGAAATATTTTGAGTTGCAAAAAATTGTTTATTTCCAAATTATTTGCACATGTTTGACATTTGAGATGAAATTTTAATATTTCAATTAGGGGTTTTTTTTTTGTATATTAATCATTTAATTCTTGCTAGGCTGCGGGACCTTCATCTGGACGAAATACACGCAATCTGAAGCGGCCGCATTATAATGAAGATAGTGATGATGAGAAATCGAAAAATACAAGAAGTGCTAAAAAGCGTGCAGTGTCGCAATCTCATGAAAGTGAGAGCAGTGATGATGATGATGACGAAACAGGAGAAACAAGTGTCTCATCTCGAGGACGAATTAGAAAACCAACAGCAAAGGCACGAGGATTTCATTGAAAAGAAAAAAAAACAATTATTTAATTACTCAAAACAAAGACTGAATACCGTCAAGAAGAAATAAGAATGTTTAAAAGCCCATCGACTATCAAAAAAATGAAACTCATTCGTTCAGTTCTTACCTAATTTTGAATATTTCTTTTAAGTCTATTATCTAATGTATATTCTTTTCTCTCTTCGACTTAGTAGATGTTAATTAATTTAGTTCATTATTAAGGTCATTTTTTACAAGCATAATAATATCAAATAAATCTATTATTCGATAAATAACAAGTTTGTCTTACTTATTTTCATTTCAGCCGTCTTTGTAGAATTCATCGACATTATGATGTGAACAAAAAGCGTTATAACAGCTATTTTAATTCAAATTAACCATTAAAACCTTACAACAGATATATTAATTCAAATTAACCGTTAAAACCTTACAACAGATATTTTAATTCAAATTAACCGTTAAAACCTTACAACAGCTTCTTAATTCAAATTTACCGTTAAAACCTTAAAACAGCTTCTTAATTCAAATTAACCGTTAAAACCTTACAACAGATATTTTAATTCAAATTAACCGTTAAAACCTTACAACAGCTTCTTAATTCAAATTTACCGTTAAAACCTTAAAACAGCTTCTTAATTCAAATTGACCGTTAAAACCTTACAACAGATATTTTAATTCAAATTAACCGTTAAAACTTTACAACAACTTTTGAATTCAAATTAACCGGTAAACGCTTACAACAGCTTCTTAATTCAAATTAACAATGAAAACCTAATTTAAATTTACCGTTAAAACCTTACAACAGCAAGTAATAGTTGATTGATTTTGTCAATATCCTGATCATTGATGCTAAAAAAGCAAATCTATCTGCTAGACCCACGTTCAAGGTGGTTGACGTAGTGTTTGTATGCAATTATGTTCGAATTCTCGATTGTTATTCAGTTGAAACGCATAAGATTGGTGAGCCTTTATCAATGACGTTTGAAATCAACTGTAAAAAATACAGAAATAAGAAAAGAACCAATTCCGATTCAATAACTGACTGAAATCAGTTAATCAATAATATTAAGCATGTCTGTGTCATTTATCTGATAATTAAATTTTATTTAATTTTTCATCTCTTTATCATTACAGTGTCAATTGGAAAATAAATAAAGGAAATAATCAATGACTCACGCTTTAATTGTTTTTTTTTTTGTATAAGAAAGAGTCTGGATTTGTGACTTTATATCCTTTTTTTTATTATTAATCACATAAACAATGGCCTTAAAAGTTATATTCATATATTATTAATTATTTTTTTAAAACACCCAGAACTAAGTGGACTAGAGGATTTAACAATTTCATAATTAATAATAATTAGTACTTTTTATAAAAAATATCAATTAGAATTCAGCACATTCAGAACACCAACCAAAAAATTATTAAGGCAACTCATGTAATCACAATATCAACAGACTTAAGGGCTTAAACTTAATATTTGCTTTTATTAATCCTTGGAATACATTTTTAATGATTCGTCAAGATTAATATTTAATCCAAGGTTTAAAGTTTAATCTTAGGATTAAAAAAGCCTTTCTGTCTCATGAGATTAGAAAATAATCAAAAACATCAATATTTGATTAAAGTTTTAAGAATCAATAACAAAAATATATCAAATCCTCTAATTCACACTGTTCTAGTCACTACGTTTTCTTTATGGAGACTTTAAATTCATTCAAATGACTACATTTTTTTGCATTATTCTACTTTGCAAGAAACAATTTCTTTTAAATATTTAATATTTATTCTCGGATGATGACAGGAGATAGCTGCACCATTCACGAATGACGAAAATAACTGTACATAAATTAATATTAAAATATATGTATTTGTAAAAAAAACTTCAATTAATCACATTCTTAATAAGAAGAAGAATTAGAATTTCTCACTATCGTTCTATCAATTTATTCATACTCTTTAAATCAATCGATTCCGATTTTGCGATGGTCTTGAGAGAAATTGAAGGTTTGGTATTGCAGCAACGCCAATTCTTCTCGGTGATCCGCTGCTTGTACTTGGCTCATGACTTTGCAAAATATTTGGAGCATCCCCAATTTGTCCATTTGATAAACTATTATCACTAGAGTTATTAATATTTGTATGATTATTATTTAATGTCTCATTCTCTTCACGAAATGATCCACTTAAATTTGAATTGAGAATATTATTTCCAGATATCGGTCGTGCAATGTTTATCGTGTGGCTACTATCAGGTCTTATTATTATATCTACGTCGTCTGTCGCTGTGTTATCGAGTAATGGCGGATCATCGTCATCTGCTGTTTGATGGCTAATTTTAAAAAATCTGTAATAACCATCCGTCAATTAATATTTTTACACATAAGAAGCCAAGAAATGACTCAATTAATTACCTCTTAAACTTGGTCCATATACTATCGTTAGGTCCTTCAATCGCAACTCCCAATTCATCAGCAACAGGCGGCAAGTTATTTTCAACTCGATTGAATGGATTAAATCTCTGATTTGGAAGAGGACGGCCATCGAGTATTTCATCATCTGATGCCTCAGTTTGATTCTGTTGCAGACCAGCTTCTAAAGCTTCACTTTCTTCTTGTGGTTGTTCCTGATTATTCTCATTAAAGGTTCCATGATTGGGATTATTATCTTGCGGATTAATTAGAGGAGTTGTATCGTCTGGATCAAAAGAAGACATTGAATCAGTCGTGGAGTCAGCAGATCGTCTTCTCCTTTGTCTACGTCTTTCACCAATTGCGTAGACTTTTCTCTTACAAATTGGACAAACCCGACGATTTTTGGTTAACCATACATCAATACATTTTGTATGGTAAGCATGACGACATGGAAGAATTCTTAGTCTATCACCTTCCTCATAATCGTCTGAAAATGTGCACAATAAATTTAATAAAAGCTCACTTGACTTGATTTTATTAGATTCTTACCTAAACATATTGCACATGTTTCATAAATTTCATTTTTCGTATATTTACGGGACTCTAGCTTCTTTAAAGAACTTGTTGGTAGGCGATACCGCATAATGCGACGTCTTTCTCGTACACATCTTGAAATCATGAAACCCAACTGTTTTAGACATAAAAATCATATTAGAAATGCTGTTATTGATTTATACAATTCATATAGGTTCTAGGATTTTTTTTCGTTCCTAAATAAATTGTGTCCTTAAGTCCGAATCTATTAATTAGGCAAGAGTTTTAATATTATTTTTTTTTATCTAACATTAAGATATATGCTTATAAGTTAAAATATTCATAAAGCGCACGCGAATATTACGAAACATACGTAAATATGAATCAAGAAGGTATGTGTGATATAAATTTATTTTAAAGTACGAAAGTAACAGTGATTCAAACATGACTAATCGTTCATAGGACGAAAGTAAGTAATTGCTTTAATAAAATTTTAAAATTGCACAATCATTTTGATAAGATACAGCGATAATCTGAATAAGCAGACACTTGTGTAAGTGACTTTAAATGTTTACAAAAGAATTACGAAAATCTACGATTCGATTGATGAAAGAATCGCCAGTGAGTTTGTTTACTATCTGTGGATATAGAAACTTTATTGTGCAAATCAATCAATGAAATGCTTTATGTGAATTCTTTTTAAACAGATGATTTTTGTCGTTGGTATGGAAGTTTAATAACTAGCTCTGATACATGAATATTCATTATTTTCTAACAATTCATGAAATATTTGTTAAAGGGTTGTTGCCAATGAGCCTTCAATTCTCAATTTTAAAAATATCAAGTAATTTTTTAACAACCTTCATAGAAACCAAACATAAAATTTTGTTCTAGATACCAATTCTTCTTAGATACAATTATTATAAACCTTATCTACTGTTACTAGTTACTCACCATAATAACAAAACACATTCCAATAACAATGCAAAATGGTATAATCAGATGCGTGTTGATATTAAATGGAAAATCATCATTCAATATGAGAAAGAATTCTAGATTAAATGAATTTAAATTGCAAGAGAAAGAAAGAATATTAGATGAGACAATAATGGAAATTTATATTGCGATTCTAGTTACTTCTTGAATAGTTGTAGTCAAACATAATGATGCTTCCTGATGTCTGACCGACGAATAAGGAAGGTATAAAAATATCTGAATCATCACTTGCTGACATGATTTCAAGAGCATCACTGTCTTTATTATATACGATAACAGCATCAAAACTGGCATTTTGGGCATGACGAACTTTATCTACAATAAGAAAAATGAGAAGACAGAAATAAATATTGAGTTTATACTTTTGGTGCCAAATTTCTAGACAAACCAGCAAATGAACAATCTCCTCTAGATATTACAGCTGCAAAACGCATCGGTGTTCCGTGAACTGTGTAATTTTTTGGAGCTTCATCCATTGGGGCACATCCATCAGGCGGTTCTCCTTGTACTGCATAAACTCTCATTCCATTGGGTGGAAAATTTGGTCCAAAACGGGCAGCAAGAGATTGAAACTCTTCAACTAGCTACATATGAGATGAAATTTAATTAACTTAATGTGCAATAAATGGCAAGAAATTGATTAACTTACCCGATTTGTTGGATTCTCATAAACGAGAACATCGCAATATGAAGTTTTGATGCCGAGGAATATTAGAACTGCATAGCTAATGATTGTATGCATAATTGTTCCTATAAAATTTATTATGTCAACAGCTACTAGTATTCTACTTGAGGTTCATGACATTCATCACTCGTGATGCTATAATTTTCACTTATTTTGTATCAAATTTGATATTTGAACAATCTATAAAGAAATAAACAGAAGAAGTCCTTGAAATCATCGTTCACTTATCAATAATTCACATTCATTTTTCTGTGGAGCATGCGATTTCATTTCCAAAAGCTCTTTGCCATCTCAAATTAATGCAATAATTCACATTTAATTACAGCGAACAGTCAACAATAAATCAACTAAAAGTTTAGTCAATAAGCAGTATGTATGCTTGCCCGAACTTTGACCTTGTATGAAGCTATTTATTCTTAACTTTCACATTATGACTTTACTGCCCTTATAATCGCTTGATAAATTTTTTTAATCTGATGTATTAATAGTTTAATCGTGGAATAAATTTAAATCGTGTAGGACTAATCTTTCGTCTGGATGAATTGGCCTAGAATCTGCTTATAAACGAACTGGATCTTGTCGAATGACTTTTTATCGCAAAAAACAACACTGAGCAGTTTTTACAGAAACAACAAAACAAAGAAAAGTCGCAATATTCATCAAAATTCATTAAACTTACATTTTTCATCAATTTTCACTCTTAATTAACTACGCTTTTACATTGAATTTGTGGACTTCTGTCGACTTATGATATAATATTCCGGAATTAATTAAATTATAATGTACAAAATTCACTAGAAAAAATTAATTCACTAAAACTTTTTTATCCCGTTTTATTTTCGTTAATTTAACTACTTTATCTACGTATACACGACTATTGATTTTATCGAACACTTAATTTGCATTTAAAAGCATATAATTTATATTAAAAAGTCACATTAATTAAGCTGAAACAGCAGAAAAGTATTATTTCAATCCAAAACAAATAATTTCCAAAAAATTCATGGAGTCCTCTCTTTAAATAACTGCGACGTAAACAAAAAACGGAGTATTTACCCTTCAAAACAGTTGAATTCAAATCAGAGTGCGTTCAGGAAATAAATTTGAATTTTAAAATACCGTTGATTTATCATCGGAATCACCTCAAATTTCATCTTTAAACAGCTAGCAACCACATTTCAGTTCACTATAACTATATCCTATATTTAATCATTGTTTATCGCCTTATAATGATAAGCAATAAAACATTTTTATTTTATTTTTGAACTATTCGTTTGTGGAGGTATTAAAAATGACTAGAGACGGCATTAGTTCATTGCTGTTGATTGTTAATATGTTTTAAGCAGATGCTGCACAGTCACATTAAAATCACTGAAAAGCTAATTTGAAAGAAGCTTTTAGTTGCGCGAGAAAGTGTCCCAACCTGCTGTAATCTTATCATTCTTATCTAAGATAGCGCGCTATCTTATCACTTGTACTCGACTATTAAGGCAACACCCTAATTTTGTTATTCAGTTTGATTTAGCTTGTGATTGAAATTGGAAGTAAAATAAAAGATACATAATTATAGTTGAATTTATTAAAACACCTGTAAACTTACCAAAATGGAGTTGAAAATTGCAGGAATAATAATTCTAGCCTGCATTGCACTTGTAAAGTGTCAAGGACCAACAAAAGGTGATGAAATCTTAAGCGATTTATTGGTGTTACATAAAATTAGCTCATACCGGGAATGAAATTATCGATGAAACTCAAAAATCGCATTTACTTATCTAATCAAACAATATCGACACATACATACGTTTATATGCTTTATGATTGTTTTCTGGGAATAAGCACATTCTCGAAGTATGCTCAATATTTTTTTTGGCGAAGCTTACAAGCCAACAAAGTTGGTAAAAAGGCTCATGAAAAAATGAATACAGAATCGTTTGGGGTTACTAGATATCCCTGATTTAATTTCATCATTATATACAAAAACCTGCAAAATGATTGAAAAAATGAAAATAAGAACATTAGAAGGTGTTTTTCAAGTGACTGTTTTTAGTATTAAAGTGGAGATAACGAGCAAAATTCAAACTTCAAGGAAATTATGACTCATTGACTTTGAATCAAGAAGAAGTTCTTTTTGAAGAATTACTCATATCGCAAATGTTTTTATGAAAAACTCTTTAATTACGAATCCAATTCTGAATAATTTGATGAGTTATTAAAGTAAACTTTAGAGCAAACTAGTTTCCATTTAAAAGTTCATCGAGTTCACAAAAGAAATGACTCTATTTGGATTTATTCCAAAGCTGGTTGAATTTTTTTTCCAAAAAAAAGCCTTTCAAGTTCTTAGTATAAAAATGTTCCAATATATCTCGCAATAAAGATAAAATTTGTCGGAAGCTACCTCTTTCTGTCGTCACTGCTAAATATAAAAGCTTCATTGAAATGTTTACTCATTATTGAGTGTCTTATTAACACAGTATTCATCATTGGTTGCTAAGTATGAAAGACGTAAAGTGTATAACCGTGTGTATGATTGATAAGAAGAAGGAATTCATCAGAAAAGAGTCACTAAAGTCTATGAACAATTTTACACTCAATTGGGTGTGGTGTTGAAAATTACCAGTTTACAACTTAAGCACTAATGTTAACTTATTTAAATAGATCGAGTATGTGCAACTCTTAAAAATGCAGATGATTGTTCTCAGCTTCAAAGGTATGCTTCGTTTTATTCAGTTTGCTCAATTAGGTCTTGATTTATTATTTTCTTTATAATCTTTAGAGGAAATTCAGAAGTGAGTTGTGTTTATGTCCAAGATGCAATTGAATGTGCACAGAGAATAAGAAATGGAACAGCAGAGTTTGGAATTCTTACAGCTGAAAATGCATTTCACATGGCTACATTACGATATGATGGTTTAGCTGTAATCAAGGAATTGAGGCATAAAGAAAAGAGGCTTGAACCATTTGACTTTCAATCAGTTGTAGTAGTGAGAAGCAACCATTATGATGGATTGAAGAATTTACGTGATGTGGACTACTGTCATCCGGGATTGCATCAACGTCAACGTCATGAGAGATGGACAGAGGCATTTTTAAAACATTTTGAGCGACAGGTTGTTCCATATGACTGTGCTGATGGAGAAACGCCTTCAGAAATTGAGGCAGCTGCACTTGCAAAGCATTTCAATACTGCATGTCGCCCTGGTGCTTGGTCACATATCGAGGAAGAAGATAAGAAATTAAAGGAAAAATACCCAGCTTTATGTGAGTTATGTGATGATAAAGAAGCATGTTCGTACACGCCAGCGCCTGCCACAGATCATCAAAAAGCTTTAGAATGTATGCTCAAAACAGAAAATGGACTTGCATATGTTGCACAACAAGAAGCAATCGACTATTTCACAACAAACGCTGAACTACAAAATAATTTCCAATATTTGTGTCCAAATGGCAGTTATGAGCCTATCTTTAACAACTCAAATCCTTGTCCTTGGTTAAGGCAACCTTGGAGTCTTGTCGTTTCTAACAATGAAAATTCATTGGGGTAAGAGAAATGCTTTTATGAGTAGATGTAAGTAATTCCTCAAATTATAATTTATATCACAGTATATCACAGCGTTTACAAAGATGGACATTGTTTGGTACATCATCTTGGGAAATTGCACTCACCTCAATTCTAACATCATCCGGTTCAAATATCCTCTATCCTGTCCAAAACATTGCTTTTCTAGTCGACTACGTTAATCCAATTCGTCCAATACCTGCGGACATTGGAATGTGTACGACAACTTCTCACTGGTGTACACATTCGTATGAAGAGAAAGACAAGTGTGATGTTCTTCGCGCTGCAGCTCTTTCAACAGGAATCAAACCAATTTTTGAATGTAATGAACCTCGTACAGATGCTGTTTCGTGTATAAGTGATGTATCAAGTGGAAAGGCAGACTTGCTTGGAATTGACTCAAACTTTGGATATCTTGCAAGACAGTAATGATATCATAACATTTAATTTTATTATTTTACATCGTTATCTTTAATGACTAATGCTGTTTACTTTATATTTTATTTACCCTAGAGTTTACAACTTATCGACTATTCTTTATGAAGAAACAGAAGACAGTAGATATTCGTCAGTTGTGGCTGTCATTAAAGAATCTGATGCAGAGAGAATCACATCGTTTGAAGATTTTCGTGACAAGAAAGCATGCTTCCCAGAGTTTGGTGGCATTGCATCAATTGCCTTTATTAATGTTGCAAAAGGTCGTGGAATTTTTAAGCGAGAAGATTGTACATTTGGTCCATTACTTGCAAGCTTTTTCAGTGACAGTTGTGTTCCTGGTAGCAAAAGCGTTTTCCATGATCCAACAATATCAAATCCAGAAAACTTATGCTCGCTCTGCCAAACACAATTGATGCAAACAACAACAACTCAAGCTATTAAGGCATTAGCTGGTGAAGTGGAATACGATGAATATGGAAATAAAGTGCCAACCACAGATGATCCTATTGAAGGCGACGAGGAGTTTGATGAAAATGTTCCACACATACCGAATCGTTCGATAAATTGTGCAGCATCAATCTCAAATCGCTTTTATGGTACTCGTGGTGCACTAACATGTCTGAATGAAGTCGGTGATGTTGCCATTCTGGAGCATCAGAATCTTGAAAATCATGCACGTGCATTAAATTTAAATCCAGACAATTTCCGAATTTTATGCAGAAATGGCTCGTTGGCAAGCATGACAGGTTTTAACGTTGATCCTTCATGCTACATGACGACCATTGTCGATGGTGAAATCGTCGTCAATCGCAACAACTCGAGAAATATGGGAATTCTAAATGCACTTATTTCGCTTGATTTATACTTACAATCTGACCCAGATTTCAAAATGTACAATATTTTCAGTGGAGTCAAGGATTTACTGTTTGAGGATAGTGCACTTGGCTTAGTTGCACCCGATTCCATGTCATTAAGTAAAAGTGTCGAGAATTACATCCAACTATTCTCAGATGTCGAAAATTGCATGAGCGACACTGATTCTGCTCAACAAGCTACATTTAATTTGCTCTTATCACTTTCATTAATTTTATTCACAATTTTAATTAGAAATTAATTGAATTTTCCATTTTAGAGAACATTCATTTCCATTCCATCTTTTATTCTTTTCTCTTTAAATGTATTCACGTTGAATCATATCACAATGTACTTTATACATGCTTCAAGTTAGATGACAAGTAAAGACACTTATCTTAAAAAACAATATATTGTTGGTGCATTTTCTATTGGATTGATTGGTAAACATTTTCTTTTATCAGTTAATTTATGTCTTTTGTGAATTTATTATATATTTAACTTTGAGCGAAATGTATGAGTTTGATAACAAATTATGGTATGGATTATAAATGTTTAAGGAACATTTAATCTGTTTTGGCTTTAAAATTGTAAAAAACAACAATTGATTTTAAAGTTTAAAATACGAAATATCATCGATGCAGATAAGACCACTGTTGGCAAAAAGCATAAGAAACTTTTCCAATTGCTGATGCCTCAAAAAAAGTTTTAGACTTTAAACGCAAAAAATCAAACCAATACAAATATTTGTAAACGTGACAATCATTTTAATTAAGTAGAAAATTAGGCAAACACTACACAGTAATAAGCATATCACATAAATTAAATATGAAATGGAACTTTAGTAAATAAGTCATTATTACATAAAATATGAGCATATATTGTCATTCAATATTCATGCTGTGTATTGTGAAATAAAAACAATCCGTGCCGGAACTACTTAGTAATTTTTGCAATTCAATTTCTGGAAGGGTTAGTCCAATTACAGTAATTGTTTAATGTAAAATCACAAAGTCTTTTGTTTGTGATTTATATCCAGCCAGTAGTTATATTCACAATAGGTCTTCAAAATGAAGGAATAAGTTGAAGAACTTTTTAGTCATTATAACTTTAGAAAGAACAAGTTGTATCCGTGTGCATTTATAATACATACAATTTCGGACAGACTAAAATGTTTTTTGTCATAATTTTCATTGCCATTTCCTCGTAATTTTAATGCAATTTTGTATGCCGTATTTTTTTTAAAATAAATAAAACACAAAAGAAAAGGAAATTTAAATTAAAGATGTAAATTTTTATGATCGCTTTGCAGATGTATATGCTTAAAAGCGAGAGTGAGTCATGATGAATACCAAAAAGCTACTTGATAAATTAATGCAAAAATATTTAAAATTGAAATGAGGTCATATTTGTCACTTGCGAAAGTTGCGTCATGTGCAGTTTAATATCAATATAGTTCAGAGTCAATGGGAAAATCCAAAACATATAGCCATTTAAAAATAATGAATCTTTGAATTACAGCTCGGAATTTCCCAAAGCATATTTCGACATTTACTTGCCTGATGGATCATTACAGCCTAGAGTTATTTATTCATATAAGATAATTTATGCGCTTTATTCAATCTATAAATGCTCTTTAATAAAAATTGGATGAAGGAAACAGGATGTTTTTAATGAGTTATTAATTGAGGATTGATCTGTTGATATAGGCCTGTCACATTGTGGTTATTTGTTTATAAAGCTTAAATTTACTCAAAGTTCCACAGTTCCACAGTTCCACTTCTTGAACTTCTCTACATACCTGATCCTCTCGTAAATTCCTATTCAAATAAATTTCCCTTATCAATCCTTGGGCTCTAAAGGGGCTGTTCACTTATTACGTAACGCGAAAAAATGACTTCTTAGACCCCCCCCCCTCGTAACAAAATTTGTATGAAAAAAAAATTTCCTTGTTTGAACCGTAACAAAATCTTAGACCCCCCCCTCCCCCTAAAAGCGTTACGTAATAAGTGAATGGCCCCAAAGATTAATGACGTCTATTAAATATTAAACTTTGATTAACCTTTATTGGCAATAGAAATTTATTTGTAACAAAAGGAAAAAATGCACATTTAAAAGAGAAAAAAAAATTATTTTTTTAAAGACTTGTTTACTTCGTGTATCTAAAAGCTTAGAGGGTAAATAGCTCTCATATGCAAAAGTAACTCGAGCTTTTCACTTCAATTTCTGTTGTCTATAATATCCATATTCAGAACTTAAAAGCATGTTTAGGGACATTGAACTATATCAGATGCTTTTTATTTGATTTATTTGTAAATTAGTAATTTTTAAGGGAATCTTGTACTGTGTGAAAGTTGTGTGTATGTATGAAATAAGCTAAGCGGGTCATGCAAAAAATAATATCCAGTATTTTAGGTAAGATGCCATAAAATGAAACTACCCCAAAACTTCATTGTTACTGAAAGATTTATAAGTAAAAGGAGAAATCTAATAATGATGGTATTGATAGATAACACTTGTGAATGGTCCCAAAAGTAATTTGCTTGTTTGTGAGAAATTTAATGCGCAATTTTAACGACAATGGATTCAATTGAAGTATATTATAAAGAGCAAGGGTCAGACACTCCAACAAAATTTTAGAGATTGTACAATTCTTCACAATCCATATGGAAGGATTGTAAAGATTGTACAATCCTTACAATCCTTACAATCTTTACATGAGAAGGATTGTAGGGATTGTAATCCTTACAATCGTTCTATGGAAAGGATTGAAGGGATTGTAATCCTTGGATTGCAATCCATATAAGGATTGTAAGGATGAAATAATTGTATGGAACATTTAAAAATGTTTTTCATAGGTTATTTAAGAAGAAATATTAATTTAATATTAAAAATTTATTTATTTTAATTTAAAGAACAAAATAAGCTTGATATATCAATTTTTTCACTTATAACCAGGGTGATTTAAATCAAAAATCAAAATCAAAATCTTTTTGCAATGATTTTAAAAAGAGATTTTGATTTAAATCATTTTTTCGAAGGGATTTTTTTTTTTGGATTTTGATTAAAATCTATTGTATGAAAGATTTTATTGGGGTTTTAAAATCCCTGCACGTAAAATTTTTGTTTTCAATTTCTCAAATTATTGAAATTTCTCAATTTCAGACGGTTAAAAATCACGAATTGGATTTCGTTTTAGTCAAACAGCATGGAACCATTGGTTGCTGTAACCTTTCTTAAAGAAATGTTTGGATCTAAAAGATCCAGTTGCAAAATTTTGACCAAAAAATGATCAACTTCATTCTTAATTATTAGGAACTGCAACTGAAAACTGATGGTTTGAAAAATATTTTGAGAAATTGAAAACAAAAATTTTATATGGAGGGATTTTAAAATCCCAATAAAATCTTTCATACAATAGATTTTAATCAAAATCCAAAAAAAACCCCTTTGAAAAATGATTTAAATCAAAATCTCTTTTTTAAAAATCATTGCAAAAAAATTTTGATTTTAATTTTTGATTTAAATAGTTAAAATGTATAAAAAATCATTCGAATTGATTCACAGTAAATTATTGTGTTACTATATATTGTGCATTTTAAATATAATTGTTTTTAAAGAAATTTCTGACTGTTTTTCTTCATTTTTCGTATTTTATTTTATTTTTTAAAAATAAATTGACATTATTTTTTGTTTAGAAAGGATTGTATAATCCTTACAATCCTTGTATAGAAAGATTGTAGGAATTGTACAATCCTTACAATCCTTATATGAAAAGGATTATAGGGATTGTAAGGACTGTACAATCCTCACAATTCGTGTGGAAGGATTGTAAGTATTGTACAATCCTTACAATTCTGTTGGAGTGTCTGACCCTTAGTTTATAAACTGTAAATTAATTTGTTACTTAACATGAATACTGTTGACACTGTAAAGTAGGCAAATTGCATTTATAATTTTATGGGCAAATGAATTTCTATCATAGCTAGGTTAAAGCATTTTCAAGAGAAATTTAAGGTAAATATTAAAGATTGTCTATGTCTGTGAGTCATATGTAAATATGCATTTGTTGCATAACCTGTGCGATAGAGTAAAGTAAATCCGGGATAATTAGTTTGATATCCCACAGCTATTCATTAGACTCTAAACGTATGCTTTGGTTAATTAATTTAACTGATTATGGTTGTCTATGATTGAAGCTTACGCAGCTTTGAAAAAAAAATATGTTCACACTTCCCATGCTCATTACATAAGCCTTTATTAGAGTTCATTAATAAATCTCTTCGATTAAATTTAGAAAGTGTTTAAAATCTAAGCCGAAAATTTGAGTATCAAGTTCAAGGTCATGGTCTTAAAAACCGTGTAAACTCAAAATAAAGCACAACTCGTCTTTATGGATGATAATGAAAAATTAATCCATTGAAAAATTTGTTGGAAGTTGAGGAATGACGTAGATACCTTTTTATGCTCCAACTCGTTTCAAAACATAAAATACCTTCGAAGTTTCTATAGACCCATTAAAAATTTTGACGTAGACGACACATAAAGTTGTAATAAAATCATGTAAAGTAATGGAATGTCTTTATGAAATTGCATCCTCAAGGGATGCATATTATGTACTTTTATAAATGTATGAAATTTTATTAGCACATCAAAGGATGTTATTTTATCGCATGAATACATTATGGATATTACATACCATCTTTATTATAGCTTGTGTGGGGACTGCATTAAAATTTTTAATTTTTACTTGAACTTTGGCTTTATGAAATAATTTAAATTAATTCAATCTTCTTTTACGTGGGACATCCTTCAATTTAGAGAGGAATGGGAATGTTACTAAGAAGTATGGTTCGACCTTTGCCAAATGTCCATATCATGGATTCAAATTACATTCATCGAAATAATTCAGGAGATTAAAATTTTCTCAGTTGCGAGATTAAATTTCATAAATTATGCAAGAAAGGATTCTTTATAAATTCCGAGATTTTTAGGGGTATCTTTTGCAAAATTGATGAAACTCAACTCCTTTTGTGGACTTTTGTACTCTTGCACATATCTCTATGTGTTGCATAATTTATTATTAAATCAGCAGTAATGGCGGTAGAAGCACCAGAAAAACTTTTTATTTTGCTCGGATATGTTTCTCTATTTTACAAACAAAAGAGTAAGTCAATGTATACATTGCATTCCTTTACTATTGTATTCCAGTCTAACAATAAACACATAAAAGAATGAAAAAAAAAGAAATTAAATTTTCAAGTGGAAGCACATAAAAATAAACTTTTATTCAAACTTTTAAAGACTGATTCAGTCAGAACTTGTAGTGGAATGAGTAAAAGTTAGGACAAAATCTTAAAAATATGAGTTTTAGAACTGGATGAACAAAAAATAAGAGGAAATTTTATGGTGAAAACTCGGAAGTGAAAAAAGAAGTTCATGCTTGGGCTATAAACTGTTTTTAAAGCAACTGAAAAAAAGAAAGCATTTAAGCTATTAAATATAAGCATTAAGTAAGACGATAGCTTTTTTCTTCTATACTTTTTTAACCGCTTTTTTGCCAAAACAAATGTGATTTTATGTTCGCTTTTATAGCGAGTTTTATATTTGGACAGGTTAATTTATTAACTCAACATTAAAGTCATAATTTAATCGACGATTGACACATTTAAAGATTTTTGAGATTAAGGATGTTTAAGAGGATTTTGGGTTTAAGTTTGATGGTTTAATCATTGTATTGGATGTTATTGACAGGATGACAACTGACAACTTATTTGGATTATGGATTTTGCATCTGTGTCATGAATTGATGCACAATTTTTTGAAGGGTTTGAGAATAAGTCAAATGACCCAAATGATAAATAAATTCTAAGTATAAATGCGCTCTTTCCCTAAAGTTTGTCACCTAACAATAAACTTGCAACTTAATCTCAAGTTTAAAGTTATGTCAATGCAATGTGCAAAACAATTAAAGCATCATACACAATGAAAGAATTTAGAAAGTGAGATAATTAGGCATTCATGCTCTCTCACATGTATTTGATTATAGATATTTTTATAACATCAGTGATATAATTGCATGCACATATATGTAATTGATATCAACTTTAAAGATATAGTAATAAAATTTAATTAATATTATGTGGCATTTATTGTCATATTGTATAAAATATATTGTTTGGTCTTCCATTAAGCTATAGCAATTTATATTTGCAAATGAAGATGACGAATTTTGTGCATTAAAAGCTTTTGTAGGAAAGTGGTTTTAGTAATTTTTAATGAGTGGCATGAAGTGGAATCTCTATGGGAGCATGATCGTCAAGTTTTTAAATTGAATATTAAAATTTGTTGCTTGCTTTTCTTATAAAACTTTCTGTCGAAAAGTGATTCTTGGATTTCGAAAGGTAAACTTATGATAATAATCTTTTGTCTTCAAGTTCCATTAAGCTTTTAATCTCATAAATCAAGACTTTGTCAAAACACTTGAATTCCCAAATTTCATCCTAATTCATTATCACCTCGTTAAATTCATAATGCATATATCCCATAATTCAATATGTGAACATCATGTTCATAAGTAGATAACGAAGATTTATTCATAATTTATGTTAGTCATTCAACATTTTAACTCGTTGCAAAAAAAAAAAGGCTGCAAATAAGTTTTTTTTTTGCAAATTCGTCCAAAAGAGAGTAAAAATTTACACACGAAAAAATTAAGTATTCATCTCATCAGATGTTCGAGCAGTGACGTTAACATTTCTTCTTCTTCTTTTCTTCTTGTTTATGCTTCATTCACATTTTGCACTGCTTCGAGTTGTTGGTTTTAAGAGGCTATTTAAAGTGTGATTGAATAGTCGAGTTTTGTCTTTGAAAGGCTGAATTTTAGGACCGACTAGTAAGTAACTGATTTGTCGTTCAATGATTGGATTGCTCCAATGTTTCGCTTTTTATATCATAGCTGTAATTTAAGTGAATTGATCAGGCTAGACATTGCTCAAAAATTCTTCTGTTTAACTGATAATATGGAGGAGGATCATTGGAAGTATCTTTAATAAATGCGCACATACCACAACAAACTAGAGACATCCTTACTTTTATTTTGCTTTTTTAAAAGCGTTAAAAGAAATGGGAAAAAGAGTTGAAAATTTCTTTTCATTTCAGTTAAGACTTGTCTTTCGTACAAACAACAAGTCGACACAACTCAACGTCGTATGCTTGACATTGCAATCGTGGAAGCGTAAAGTTTTTTACTTTATAATTTTGTTGAAATTATTGTTATTATTTGTTTGTGTCTTTTCTTTCATCTCATTTAAATACAAACCGTGTAGATACATAGTAATTGAGAATATAAATGCACACAAAATGGAATTATTAAGTGTAAAAATTACCGAAAGTTTAAGCTAGTTACAAAGTGAAATGTGCGGGTCACAGAATTAAACAATTGATACTTGCGGTTTTTGTCATACATTAAATTCTTTTCTCTTGCATACAGTTTCTTATATTGTCCATAAAGTGTTATAGTGATTAATCTGTTGGTGACATTTAATTGTGTAAAAGTTGAAATTTCTTTCCTTAAAATTAAATAAAAAATAAAGTCAAGAAAGTCTTACTTCATTAAGGCAAAGAAGTAATAGTGTTGTGAAGAAGAGAGAGCTCATATTGGAAATCGGATTAAAAACACTTTCAGGGATCAAAAATTAAACAGAAAGTTTCATCAGAATTGAAACTGATTGTGTGCCGGATATAGCAGTGACAATAATTCGTCTCATTTCAAAAACATGGCAGGATTAAAATTTCTATTTATAGGTAAGTGAGGATCTATTTAACTTAATATTTCGGAAACCCTGTGAACGACATTTGATATAGTGTGATGATTTACGATTATTTCTGAAGATAATGTCTGTGTGTTTGTTTCTGAATATCACTGATATAACGGTTTATTTCATCGCCCAAAAATTGCATGCGAAACTAAATGTTTATGCACCCAAAAATCATGTGCAACACACAAACCCAAAATACTCAACGGGATAAAAACGTACGTACAAAAAAAAATTACGTAATTTTGTTGAATGGCTCATTCAGCGAGTGGCTTTCGTTTACATCCGTGTAACATTTTCTTGTTGCATGCATGAAACACGACGGTGTTGATTCTTTAATAATTTGTGTAATCGTATTTTACGAATAAATTATGTATGGTGATTATAATAACCTTGTTGCTTAATTTTGCAAGTGAAAAGAATATTTTGGTGTGCTTTTGCTCTGGGAGAGCTGTGGCATATAAACAAAATTTGCATCAAATTTTTGTAAATAAAGTTATTATTTTAATTCCCATACAAAAGGAGAATTCTAATGAAAGTTGTTTTGATGTGATACCAGTCTGTTGGAACTGGAATTTGGTTGTTTGAATATTTTATTGACCAGAGAGAGAGAGAGAGAGAGGATCAAATTGTTTAAAAAAACAGCTAAGATATAATTCACCTGTGGTTCCCCTTTTATCATTGAAAGTACCTCAATTTTATGGTTATGGGCAATCTTGTCAGCTTCATTTCTTATATCCACATTTCATCCACCGATATCTTTTCTTCATTACCGTAATTCACAATAATTTTTTTTTCCTTTTTTTATTCAATACCGAAATAATGATGAAGAAGAAAGAAAGAAAGAGCTTAATGAAGCACGAAGCTAAAATTGAGCTCGTTGAGAAAGTTAAGCAACAGCAAAACGGCAAGGTCTTATTGTCGTCATTTCTCTTTCATTCCTTTCTTTCAGTGAATCATTTCTTTTCGTTATTTATAAACATTCAGCACATTAATGTGTGTTGTTGCCTCACCATTTTTCATAAAAAAAAGTGCGACTTGACCAATTTTGTCGATCGATTACATAAGATCATGCAGCGGAAATTCTGATATCGCGTTTCATACCTCACTCAATATTTATCATTTCTTCTTCTTCTCTCACTTCCAACTCTTTTTATTTTCGTCTGTTTGCATATTTTTTTTCTTTCATATTTTACTTTACATTTTATAAGTGAATATGAAGAAATGAAAAGTGAATTTCAATAGTTTCACTTTGTTCGCTTATGATTCACAATTTCTGTTTCTGTTGTGGGGGCGTGAAGCAAGTTTCAGTTTCATTAAAAAGAAATTTTATAATCGCGTGCATAATTTTATTGAATTCGTGAACTTCTTGTTGTTCCTGGGAATAAAAGTGCAAGGAAATAAAAACTTTGTTTAGCTAAGCCTTTGACAAATTCGAATGACTTACAAACTCATACAAATACGTGCAACTGGCAATTTCTTTACGTTGTGGTTTTCCACTTTGTTACGCAAGTTGTTTACCTACTGCGCAGACAATATATCGCGATTTCTTATGAAAATGAAGAGTTCGTTAAACGCTCATTAGGTTAAGGTTGTTTGTCTTTTGCGTTCTTTGACATTTTATATTATTTATCTCATCTCGATTCAGTGATGACTCAGTTCATCATAAACTTAATTCAATCAAGTTTAGAGGTTTGGTTTTGCTCTCTTCTTTTTCTCATAAAAAGTTGTTTGTTTGTGACATTAACATGAAAATTTCCAGATCTCGCCTAGATGCGAGGTTTCTCGAAAAAATAGATTTCTCAATTGGATTTTCAGAAGGTTTTGGTGACAATAAAGTCATTTGATCAGTTTTAGAGCTTATTATGTCAAATTGTAAAATATTTAAGACATCATGGTGGTGCCAAAATATTAAAATACATTTTTTTGTGTGCTTATTGATAACTACCCGGATTTCTTTTTAAAATAATAAATTACATACTCGTGGAATTTATATTAAGTCGTGTTCTTAAAACCTAGAAAGCTTGTTAAAACTTATTTATTGCTTCTTGCAAACTTCTATGCAGTTTTCACAAGATTAGTCAAGTTTAGAAGATTCTGTGTTTAAACTTGAAAGTTTACTATCTATTTACAGAGAATATAAGATATTTCAAAATTTCTTAAAGGAAGTATGACAAAGATAAGAAGAATTTACTGTTATATAGCACAGAAATTAAGAAATGTTGTAAACTTGAAAGGAAAGTACTTATTCAATATTTATATAGTTTCGATAGAGGTCATTCTTTTTTGATGTTCACCATTTAGGAGAGGTTCTCGCATAGTGAGCATAATTTGTGATCGAACCGTATACTCATAGTCCACACATGTTGTTATCAAAAGATGAAAATTTTAAAAATCCACAAATATTATTTTGATTGATTAAAAAATTTGATGTGTCATAAAAGTTCTACAACCTTAAACCTTCCTTTATGAAAGATTTTTATAACAAAAAAATCATATTGAGCTCTTTTGTGCTCAACTTTTTGTGCCTTTTCTAAATATTCAGCAACAATAACATAATCTTTATAATTTTTCAACAACAGCTTTTTGTAAGTTTCTAAGGATGTTTATTTGGTACCTTCATCTTTAGTCTTAACAAAAATTTCACTTTTAATCTTTTCTATAAAAACGGATATTCTTGCTGTATCAAAAAGTTTAACGAACTAGTCCTTAGCTTTTTAAAATTCATAAGAAATATCCAAGTGTCATTAATTAATGACATCCTAGGTTAAAGCTGTATCCAGAAAATTGTTTTGTGAAATAGACATGAAGCTGATATGTTTATTTCCATTATTTATGAACGACCCTTAATACATTTATTTATTTCTTTATCTTAAATTATTATACAATTCTCAAGTTTAACCTTTAGTCTGTTCCCTTCCACGTGTAACCATTGACGTCAGACATTGACTATTATCTTTAGGACTGAGAGCATGAATTATTGTTGATTCGATAAGAAAAGGAAAGGAAAATATTTCAATGAATTCTTCTTTAAAACTTTCCAATTATTCATGATGAAAATGGATAAGTAAAAAATATGCAGCGACAGAAACAGCAGCTGTTAAGATAATTATTTTTGATACAAACGTTTATTCAGTGGCTATGAAATGTAGTAATAAAGTTTGTATTGAGATAGGTCAAGGCTTATTATCAGAGTAGTTACGGTAATTGGAAATTATTGAATGGAAATTTTTATTATTTAATGGCTGAATATTTTTATAAGCTTCAAATTTTTTATCCGGTATATATTTTATCTTTGAAATGTCATGTTTAATTTCACATTTTGAGAAAAAAATACAATAAATCTTTAAAAAAAGGTTCAGCCTCGGGATTACAATAATTTAAATTCAAGTCAGTTCAAGTGATTTCATGAGTATATTAAGTTATAGCTGTCATACAGGCGTCACACGGCAAGTCTACCTTAAGGCAACAAAAAAAAATATGCTTATCGCCATGTAATAATGTGGAAATTAAGATGTGTTAAGAAAGTGACGCCAAATGCGCACAATTTCAAAGCAAATCATGCAATTAAAAAATGATAGACACAGTGAATTGTGGTTGTGATAGATTAATGGATATGAAGTTATTCAGTATTGCTAGATTGTGTGGATTCATTAGATTGATGGTGAAGCCATAGAAATATTTTAACTTCAAAGTTGATTCAAAATTAAATATTTAAAAAAATAGCAACATTCTGTTCTTGCTGCTAAATCGAATTCATCTGTATTAAAACTAAGAATTTTACTCCTATTTGAAGTGGAAAAAAAATCAAACAGAATAAAACCCAAACCCCTAAATTCTAATGGAAGCCTTTTAAGCGCATAATAAATTTTTAACACAACACGTTTTTATTCAAAGCTCAATTTTATTTTGTGGCAGCGCATAAGAAACGGAATTTTCTACTTGTTTTATTCATTTTTCATCGAGAATTTAACGATAAATTAAATTTGTAATCCTCTTTTCAATTTCATATTGATTTCAAATGACTTTTTCCTTCAATTTTTCTCTTATTCTCTGTTTTCTACGCAAAAGTGTTTTTGTTAGATTCTGAATGCTTACTACTTAGGCAAATAGGTATACAGAAGAAAATCTTTTTTATGTTCCAATGGAAAGCATGTTGATGAAATTACAAAAATAGAAATAGAAATTTAAATTTTATCCCCTCACACCAGCTTTATTTGTCGTTGCTCCTGTTGAGCTTCCACATTTTGTAATATTAAAATTTCACGTGTGTTCTTAACATACTCGAAATAAAAAGGTATGATGGCAAATAATAAATTTCACTGGAACTGAGTAAAACAATTCAATTAAATAGGATTTTCTCGTGTGAATGCTTTGTTGATAGATTGACACTTTTAAAAATGTTATGCAGAGGACGAATTAAATTAAACACAACATGAACTGTATTGGTAGTGACTAAGTACGACTCTACGACCAAAGTCCTGAAAAGCCTATAATGATAATCTGCTGGAATTTTTGAAATTCACATTTTAAAATAAATCGTATCTACCAATTTCAATAATTAATTTATTAATGGGGTTTATAGGTTTATGAGTTTCCAAGGGTAGTTTGCATATTAAAGTCGATAGAATCAATAGATGCAGTCACATATGGATGATATTTGGATGTTTCTTTCACTTCCCCTTTCAAATTAAGCAATAACTTTAAGAATGACATAGTAAATATTTTAATTTGATTTATCCATTCACCAATTAATAACTTGTTATGCAGCCTTATTAAATCATTAAGAATAACAGCTTGTTCATTTGCAAATAATTGCAAAAACGCGTTAAAAGATGTAATCAGTGAAAGTATTAAAAATAAAATTTTATAGTACCATTCAAGTTGGAAGTATTTCCGTAATGAAATTGTGTATGTATTTTTTTGCACAAAATTGATTTCCAATTACATCGAACATTATTATTAAGCCATTATGTGCGCATATAAATA